TTCTGAGGGAACTCTGCATACGTCAATTGTCTAGCGGAAGGATATTTTTTATTCGCCTCCATCCATGCGGTGAACATACTCTCCTTAACAGACACTGCATTGACGACAGAGTCTAGCGGCTGGTCATCATGAAAAACTACAGATTGTTCGTTTGGCAAATGAAAACTCAAACGCTCCACCGGCGGGTTTTTGTACTGAATTTCAAAACCATAAACCCTCCAAGCAGCCTCGCAAGGTGAAATGTATCTACAATCATAATACATCTGAATCTCATCAACAGGCTGCTGTTGAGTATCACCATCCACAGTTCTATAAAAAGCTGTTGTTACTCGATCACGACCCTTATTAATGTACTTGAAAAGATACTTTATGGATCTTGACTGATTACACCACTCCACATTCATATGTGCACCATATTTCATCAACAAATATCTGTTGTGGGGAACAACAAACCTATTGTCCAAATCCACACCACTCTTACGGATTACACGGCTGTTACGAACACGTTTATAAACGGGGTAACCGTCCTCATCAACGGATGTTTCAGAACACCACTTCTTGGGAAAGTGCTTTGAACACTTCCCATCAACCATGCAAGGCGCAGACCTGAAAGCAGTACCACAGGGGCCATGCATCATAAAATCTCTGACCGCGCCATAGTATAACGGATCACGGTTAACATCTGGAATTTCAGCCGATATAACCCCATCAATATCTTCTGATGAAGGTAACTTATCCTCAACTGACAGCCACAACAATATATGGGCATGAGGCAATCCACGCTTTTGGAATTCGATAGTATACACAACTGAGAAAAAACAAAACTGTAAGCAAATGGGATTAAAAAAAAAACAATTAAAATCGCACAATTATATTACCTGCCCTCACACTGCCAAATGATTTCCCTTTCCTAAGATCTTGAATTAAACCGTCAAGCTTTACCTTGAAGACCCGAGAAACAACATCTGGTCGGTCTTCTGGTTTCAGATTTCTCGAGTGGAGAAAACGATCAATCTCTGGCCACCTAGGGTTACACGTAAACGTAATAAAAAGATCTGGATAACCTGCCCACCGACATATTGCCATAGCATCTTGATAATTTTGTATCATATAACGGGCCCCACCAGTAAAAGTTGGAGGCAACACAATTCTCTTCCCCTGTGTGCGTGAATCGTGCTCACCACGCAAGAAAGCATCACTCAAACCCTTATACATCTCGCAACGAAGCTTTGTCTGATGAGTCCTCACAAATTTCAATCTAGCAGACTCAACCAAAGTATAACCGTCAACAACAAATTGTTGAAAAAGTCTTTTGGTCTTTAGAAGAATCGAATGAGAATCACACCGTTCTTGTAGACGGAAAGCAAGAAATTCCCTAACACTCACCCTTTTCCTCCCAGCACCAACTATCTCACTGGACCCAGACAATAAAATATCCTCACGATAACCATCCTCACCGTAGGGAAACAATAACGGATACTGCAGACCAAAATAGGCCGGGTTCAACTCATTTATCCTCTGGAGCGCGCCAGACTGAGTCTGAACCAAAATGTCCCTTTCACCCAAGGATTCATCAAAATCACCCACAACCAAAGCTGCCACCTCCGACACTGACGGCAGATTGTATGTCCGAGCATCGCCGTATCGCTTTCCTATAAGCTTTAGCTTCACACTTGGGGCACTGTTTGTGTCAATTTTCTCTTTTGCAAGACGAAAGGACTTCACCAGAACATTATGTTGATTGAGCATCTCGGTCAAGCTGATCACTATCCCCTCGTCCAACTTCCTCAGATTAACACCGCCACTAATTAAATATCATAGAGAAATTAGGGTGAAATACTAATACACTGATTTCAAAAAAAATGAACTGGAAATCTTCAAACCTGACAGATGAAAATCTATTCTGAACTTCATTCTCGGTGTCATAGATATACATTTGTGCAAATTTGGGCTTCGCACCAGGGGGAGGCAACAAACTACCCATTAAGTGATAATTCTGCCCATGGAGTTTAAATATCGGAGGAGATCTTCCTCTATTGACATTTCCCTCGACCCGACCTCCCATGGACGTAAAGGAAAACATACTATTGTAAGATCTTATGTTTTCGAGAAAATGCCTGCTACGCTCATCAGTACCATCTATCAATCTAGCCAACAACAACGGCGGCTCTTTCATAACAGGCAACACAACCTTGTTTTGGCTACAACAAAGGGAAAATCTAGGAAGATTCTTCTTTGAGTTTGACAGAACACGCTCGTCAAACCAAAACAAAGCATTACAGAACTCACAGATGTAGATTGAGTCACCGATGTCCCAATACTCTGCACAAAATTAATAAAAAAAATACAACGTTAAATAAAACACAAAACCACGCATGCAAATTTGACTGTTGACACTATAAGCGCACCAATCTGCCTGTCGATTGTTTGGGCAGGAAGTCCATCATAGTCAACATACTCATCATCCACATCACTATCACTGAAAGACGATACATCAAAATCCAAAACAGTGGATAAAGGCAATGGGTGTGAACTCGAAGCATGAAGATATTCGACGGATGTTTGAGGACCAACAAAGCCTAACCACGAAAGTCAAATGAACTCAACACAATGCGTTATCAATGAAAACCAAAACAGAATGTGATGCCAAATTGGATACAAAATTAATAACAGTTGATGAGAGACAAACCGGCATCGATATAGGCAGAAGTTGAGCTTAGCAGCGGCCCTGAATTTAGGGAAGAAAGAGCAACTTCGGGGGCTGAACACATGGAACGATGGCGGTGTTGTTTGGTAGGGGACATAATAACCTCATCATCCAAAGTGCCTATACAATCATTTGGAAAATATTATTTTTAAATACGTACCAAAAGAACACAAATTGCACACGTGCATAAAAAAAATAACGGTCGTATAGTAAATAATTAACAAAAAACCATAAATACTTCGCAGATGTTTTGAATATAACAAAAACCAACAATATCTTCCACCAAAGAAACAGTGCAAAGTACCACTAAAAGGGAAAATAATAAGAAATATTTAGAAGAAATACCACATCTTTAATATTTTAACTGCTACATCTTTCATTTCTATACTATTTGCATATTCTATTCTGACTATATTTCACTAATTAATGCATTGTAAATTAAAGTAGACAATATATTGTAAAATTCCCACCATTCTAAAATATTAAAATATGAACTTTTTAAATTCTTTACTATTAACGAATGATAGACATTACTGGTCATTGGTCAAACCTATGCGACGGCAAATGTGGATTGTTGACTGTTGTAACTAAAAAAATGGAGGAAATATATTTTAGCCAAGCCCAGACAACCCACCCGAGTTAAAATCCCAAAACAATCAGTCCAAAACATTTATGCTGCCTGATCATGTACTGGACAGTACGTGCAGCCCAAACACAGCCCAATAAACCATGACCCAAGGTTTTTATTCCTCTCATCAAAACCTCCCAGCCAACCCTGAATTTACGCCGACACTCGCAGTTCATCTAATACCCCCATCCCCTCTCTCTAACGAACCACGCAGACGGGAAAACGCCCTCACCGGCACATCGCAGATCCGCGTCAGAGGTGACCAAAAATGCTCCGCCGGTAGAGAAAAAACACCATACCATACTTCAGAGGCCAAATTCACTCCACACAGCACTTCTCAAAGACACAGAAGCGAACACAGCAATCCATCGCAAAAGTCAAGGTCAGAGAGAGATACAGAGCAACGCTGCGTGGTCGCCCGACGCCACCAACTTTCACCGATGGAGATGGAATACCGACGTTCGTCAAAGGCTTCACAGGTAAACTCACCAACTCCAAAGCACACAAAACCACAAAACCTAACCCCCACCCCCTGCATGCACCAAGACAACATCAGATCCATCAAGGATTTGGTGATTTTTTCTAAAAAAAAACTTCAACAAATTTATCATTTATTGTTACCCCAAAAAATGAAAATAAAAGTCAGTCACGATTGAGTTTCTTTTTCAACGGAGATACACAATAATCCAAGACCGAAATATTTGGTATTTTTAAAATAATAAAACGGAAAATATATTGCCCGAAACCTATGAACAATGAAAAACATAGATCTGCAGGATCTGAACGTCTTTGTAATTTTCTTCCACGGTTAAAACAATAACCAAGAATATCTCCCGTTATATTTTTTGCAAACATTAACAAAACAATCTTCGCCAAACAGCGCCATTTAATTTATCATATTCCGTTTTCAATACAATTCTATGAGGATACCGCAACTTGTTTATTAAAATTAACCGTGAAAAAATATCATAATTCTAATAATAATACGAAACACACTTTTAACTTAAATTTTGAAATGAATATATATCCCCATGTCGGTATCAACATAATTTATTTGCATTTTTTTTATAAAAAATAACAGTAAATTATGTCAAAAAAAGGTGAATATAATATTCTAGAATATTTTTAAAATAGGCCTAAGTTATTAGAATAATCCGCAAATGTGTAGGATATTTTTATAAATTAGGGGACGAATTTTTAATCTCATAAAAAATTAAATAGTAACTTAAATTTTTTGAAAGAAGAATCTATAAACAGTAAGAAAGTACAGATAAAGTAATGGAGTCTTCTGCGTTTTTTCAGACATGGACCCACCCACGTTCCATATTCGAAATTAAAAACACCTACCCAAGTCATTTAAGTTCTACCACTCCCCAACCAACGTCATTTATTATTCTCGAAACACCCAACCACTACCCACCTCCTCAGACTTTAACACATCGAGCCTCCCACCGCTAATGATAAAATATTATAAAAATGTATAGATATAAAATCCATCGGCCACAAATTCAACCTTTATATTATAAAAATATACACAAACAATTATTACTCCCACCCAACCAATAGCATTAACCACAAACCAAACTCCCACCCACCAGCATGAATGACAAACATTGCTCCCACCCACAACCATATATGAATATAAACCCAGCCCTTGAACACAACCAAACCTCCACCACTCGGAAGATCATCCTTACCAATACAAAGGGACATAAATCCCAAAGTCGATACACACACTTTATACAATAACCGATCCTATATAATACCTTTCCTAACACTGCAAAGATACTAACCTCATATTTTCCATTTAATCTGCATGACCGCAATCGGAGAGGGAGTTAAAAACATGGCTTTGTGAGAGTGGGAACGCGGAGGTGAACACACAGACACCAGGTAACAACTACCACTTATTAATATTATTTGTTATTACTTTATTAATCCCGGCCTACTAAACAATGGTATACACTGAACACCCATCACTGCACCATAGCGGAAGTCCATTTGAATGGAGCAAGAACCACCAACACAAAAGACGTAAGAGGTATTCTTGTACTTATATTAATGGTTTATGATTATTCACAATAAGTTGTTATTTTATCATTAGCACCTGACCACATGAATAACGAAATTATTTATCTGTTTCTTTACAGGAAAACGACACAGCAGAGTCAAAGTTACAGTTTGGGGGTAACAAAACACATTCCTATTATTTCACATGTCTGTATAGAATATGAAAACCACAAATTCTTTACTAACACTCTAAAATTCTTGCAAACATATGGGAGGAAGTGTATTCACTGCCAGAAGACATTCACCGCCAGGATTATGGACAGGGCAGCACACATGAAGAAAAGGTAATAACCAATTAAAAATGAATTCTGATGTATTTATTTTCAAATAACCTAAAGAAAATTATAACTGAAGACCTTATGCCTGAAAAATATTTTTACTGTATGATATTTTCTCCAGATCATCCACCAACAGTTTTCTTCAAACACATAACCCAAGCCCACTTCCACAACAAAAAAATTAAATTCAAAAGTTGATGACAGTAGCTGAAAGGTGACTAACATTAATAACCTCAATCACAAAAAGCTTTAACATTGCGAAAAACTTACCTCTGTTGGATCTTTTGGATCCCAACACACATGATTTAGTTATCTTAACCATAATCTAAGTCGTCAAACCGGCATCATTTACCTAATAATATTAGCGTCAGTATGAGAAGATCAAGATCTATGATTAACTTCAAAGCAAAACATTCATCATAAAACATTACATTACATTATAGGTGCACATTAGAGGAGCTAACATGATAGGTGCACATCCGAAATACAAAATATTTGTCCAAAAAAGACATTATGACAGTAATGTCTTTCCTAATTTAAATTTGGACAAAATACATGATAGGTGCACATCAGAGGAGCTAAGATAAATAAGAGCGTAGGTGCACAATACCCAAAAAGTACATTACAATAAATATTAAATAATTAAACACGACTGAGCCAACCGAATTCACAATCAACAACAAATTCCCCTCCAAAATACAATCGGTTGAGCAGGACAGGGCGTGTAGAACGCCTCAGAACAACCTCTTCCCTCTCAACAGTGGAATTAAGCCCAGAGGGCTCCCCAGGGGTCTCCCCAGAGCTCTCCCAAGTGGTCTCCCCGGAGCTCTCCCCATTGGTCTCCCCAGAGGCCTCCAGCACGTCTCCGATATACCAACGGAGATCATGCGCTCCGTAGAAGCGTGATAGTACTGCCGGAGGCAGCCGATCCAAAGGGATACCTCCACGCAGAAACTCAAGAGCATAGAAGTCATCACAAACCCGACACCACCAAATCTTACATGAACCCCCAATTGCGTACATGTCGCCGCAAAGACGAATCTCACCACAGATTCCACAATCCATGAACATGGCAGCGGACCAAGCAAATCCACCTAAAAGACTCAAATAATCCAAAGTTACAACGTGACTGAAAGTTTAGAAACATCATAAAAAAACTTGAAGTCGCTTCACAAATTAACACTTTACTCCTAGAATAAAACAACCATATTTTTCTCCTTGCCAAGGACAAATTAATTTTTCAGTAAATTGACTTATGCGAAAAATAACAATTTACGAAATATAGGACTTGGGATATTACTTTTAAATACATACTCTCTGGAACCGTATATAATAATTTTGGAAATAATGAGTTGATCTGTGGGTTGTAACCTGTGTTTCCACAACTTTGATGCAGGACTGAACTATCGGATGAGGATGAACCAATCGAAGAACAAAGACAATACACTCAAGTGCAGAGAAGACTGAATTACAATGGTGAAGTTTTTACTATAATAGTCATTTATAAATGGAACGGTGAATGGTATTGCTATCATGGGGTGAAATCCAAATATCTAACCAATAAACAGTGAAAATTAATAATGTAACCCACTAACTCAATGAGAACCAATCACGCACTAACAACACACTCTGAAACTGATAACCCAGAACTAAAATTAGATTTGAAAGATTTGGTGTGTGATGTGGACGAAATATGTCCACAATTATAACTGAACAAATCTTGCACCCACTGTCTTCAAAATGTCCTGCGGCCATATTTAAAAATTAACCATACAATTTAAAAATCAAACTCCTCGTGGTGACAGGAATGCATTTTAAATGTGACTGTCTGAAAATATTTTAATGAACTACCCTCTCTTAATCTACAACCGAAAAAGATTTTATGCCAAAAAAGTGACTTCAGAGTTATTTGGTTAAATAAGTGATTTTTTAAGCCAAAAGTTGAGAAATGTCTGTTTTACATTATTGCAAACCAACACTCAATCTGTAAGACGCCTAAAAATTATTGTTTTGAACATGTCCTTGAGAACAAAATAGATATTTAGTGCCAAAAGACTGCATATATACTTTTCACTCCTATCCTCGGTAAAATTTTTTTTTTATCACAGATAAACATCACAATTAAAAACACTTCCCCTAGTGTCCGTCATCATTCCCTTTTGATAATTTAAAAGCAAATAATTACTACTATTACATTTTTGAACTAAGCATGTAGGGTTTACTAAAGTGGTTCATATATTTTTCTTCCACACTTCTGTAATAGTCATTTGACAGGGATAACCGAATTAAATGTTTTTTTGGATAAAAAAGTTCACGCGGTGAGCAAAAAAGCGAAACTTGAATAAAATGAGGGTGAAAACGTTCACACAAATAAAATGACACGTCTAGTCATAATAATTTGAGGGTTAAAACTGAATCAAATGAATTTTTGACGAAAAACCTTATTGTTTTGTGACATTTACTGCCCAAAACGTAGGCTACAGATGTCCAATACAGGCAATGAATTTATTCCAATATTTTAAGTTTACTTTAATAGTCACACTATTAACTGCATAACTTCAATGTCATTTAAAAATTTCTATTAGCCACATTGCCAATCTAAATACTGCACGGTCCCCAACAAATTGTAATTTCCCATATCAAAGGTGTACACAAAATTTACAATCAAATAAAGCGAATATTTTTTACTTGATAGTTTATCAAAGGAAAATATCAAAAGTGTACACAAAATTTACAATAAAATAATGAGCAGATTTTTTCAAAATGACAAATTTATCTTGAAAGTTTATTGTTCTAATCGGTGTCGGTACATATATCTATCAGTTTTCAAATCAGTTTTACATTTGCGTGACACGTTAGGATGCGTGCAGATTGCAGCTATAGGATACATGTATAGCATGAGTTCTCCCAAACTTCATCTTTTTTTTGCTAAACAGAGTCAACCACTTTTAGTAAATTAAAGATAATGTAATTAAAATAACTGCCTTGGTGAAACTTATTCCCATGGATATGCCAGGCAATGAGAGGGGTGATATTTGATGTATTGGGAGACAAATATGGTTTATCTTTAACATTTGTTACTTACGTGTGCTAACCGGTTAGCACACGTATTTGATCTGTTTTCAAATCAGTTTCACATTGGAATGTATCATGACGACACATTCCAATGTATTAATTATCAATCATCAATTATCTATTAAATAATAGCAAGCATATAAATCTGTGGTAATAGGACCAATGTGTAGTGGGAGGTCTCCCAGACTGTAAATATTATTGCAAACTTGGTTTTGTATTTTAAAGGCAATGGAATTAAAAGAACTGCCCTGGTGGAACTACCTGCCTTGGGTATAGCAGCAAATCAGGGGGGTGATATGTGCTAGGTTGGATGATGAATAAGGATTTTTCCTGGACATTTTGTACTTGTATAATTTGTAACACATAAATTAAAACACAAAGATTCACTTTAAATTATTTTCATTACTTGCCAGTTGAGTCACACACTCACAAAATGTCGCATTGTTGATGATTTCTGGTGATGATTTAAACAGGGAATTGCGCGGACCTGCCTAAGGATCATGAAATTGTGGCTTTGAGGAATCCGTTTGTGCGGGATTTTTTTTATCTTTATATCATTGGTCTGTAAATCTAATAAGTAGACGTAGGATAGATTTAGGGCAGGACACCCGACTCGGAAAAAGACCACAGGTACGCCAATCCATTCAGGTCCTCAATATGAATCTCGTTATATAACATTGCCATTATATGCGCTGCATTACACACTCGCCACAAACCCAGTTTTTCAAACACTTTCTTTAAAATTTTATTCCCAGAAGACTAATAGGGGAAAAACATGTCTGTAAATTGTGCCCAAAGAAAGTATTCTTGACACATCAGCAAAAAGACTCAAATTTTTCAATAAAATCCGTAGTCTTATTCCTCACATAGGTTTTTAAAAAATTAGCCATTATAAGAACTGCTGCAGTAAAACGAATTGCCTTGGCCTTGCCAGCAAAACAGGGGGTGGTATGTAGTGGAGTTTGATCGTGTGTCAATCATTCCTACCCCCACTATTCATCTAGGGGGATCAGGGGTTGATTTCACACTAATCAGTTTTCATCTAGGGGGATGGTCTGACTACATATATTTATGCCTCAGCGTGAATATCTTTCCCAAACAAACCACACTCATCTGTGTTTAAAACCTAACGGAAATAAAAGAACTGCCTACGTATAACTAACTGCCATGGCTATGCCAGCCAATCGGAGGGTGATATATGGTATATTAGATTATCAATACTGTTTCCCCTTTCACAGAGACACTAACAAACATTCTATTCAAACCATTTTCATTCCGTGCCCATTGTGTTCAAAACTATCAAATAACATTGGAATTATTGTTCATTTATGGTGTCTTTTTTGTCAAGAAAATACCTAGTCTGATTCTTCACAAAGGTTTAAAAAAATAATTGCCATTACATAAAGTAAATATAACATTATAACAGGGAGTTGTTAAAGTTAAAGAGAGAATTACACAACAATTCTCAACTTTATGAAAGAACATGATACTTCAGTGAATTACACATTCACTGAAAATAATGTCTTCCAATCAAATGTATATTATTGGAGTCTAGCGATTATACCATGTATTTCTTTGAGTATTTTTAATCTTACCTGACATCCACCCTAGCAGGCTAGAACCATAAGTATTTCCCATAGAAGTCCAACGCATCACAGTCCTTGGGTATATCTTAACATAATATCTTATATAGATGCGTCTGCAGTACATATGATTAGCATTTTCTGATGCCTGAGTTCTTAGACTAAAACCATTGAAAAGAGGCCAACATTTGGCAACACCAAGCCCTGAAGGGGCAGATAAAGGGTGGCCAAAGTTGCCTTTATTGTACATACATGGAAATCAAACAGTCACACATAACATAGTCACACATAACTTAGTCACACATAGCATAGAGCGAAGCATAATCCTTATTCCTTTTTCACCCCCTTGAGCTTTTTCCCAGACGTTGAAGTTGAGGAGTCTCCAAACAGGTCACGTTTCAGTTTTTCAGTGTCCACTTTCAAATCACTCCTTTTCTCCTTGGTCAGCAGCGGGCTGGACACAGATAGCTGCGATGACTGAAACTGAAATTTTTAAAGACCTTGAGTTTAGGACTTTTGAGATACCTAGCCAGGATATAAATAAATATCTAGACTACTTACCCCACTTCCAGGACCTGAAAACTCTTTAGCCAATCGAGTGAACTCATCTTCCTCCTGCAAGAATAGTCCGTTAATAATGCAGAGAATAGTGTCTTTATACCCAGTGTTAAAAAAATTAAAATGTATACCTCAACAGCATTTATCTTTGATGAGTAAAGTGACAGCACTTTGGGGTCCGTGTTCATTTTTATAACGCTGAAAGTTTGATTTCCTTTGAAACCCCTGCCTTCTCTTTTAACATGCACCTTAAACAAAGCCTTTATATCAATGAGAGAGGTTATCTCAGAAGGGAAGTAATGCGGTCCAAAGTTCCTCTGCAAATATTTATAGGTTAGTCCACCATATAAGAAAAACTAAGACAAATAGAACTTAGTACCAACACATACCCTAGTTATCTGTTCCTTAAGGGATGCGGCCGACTTTCCCAGCAAGCATGAGACCTCCCTATCCCATAGCAAGAAGGAGGCATGTGTTGTGCAATCAACTACCCTCACATTCACCTTAAACCTGATTTCATTAAAGATCTCGTCTTTAGCAATTCTTATAATTGGGCTTTAAAAAAATTGTGAGTAAGATCACAAACCGAAGAACAGCGTCATTTGCATTGCAAGAGACACACCAAAAGCTATCCCCGTTAGTAGAAACCTTCCGATTACAACTGATGCATGAAATGTAGGACCAATCTTTGTAGTTGTCGATAGCCACTATCTCTCCGTAAACCCAATGCTTCCCTTCCTGTATATCACCCAAAAAATCGATTCAAATCTTCTTTAGAATAGCTTTATATTATAATTATAATTATAATAGACTTGCCTCTTGAAGTTTCAATAGGGCATCAATAGTGATCAAATCTTGCTGGCCAGTTGCTATTTCTCCATCGTCTGAGTTGTCAGTTGTTATTGAAAACCTAAGTCCACTACTGGACCTTTCAGCCATCCTGATTTTAATTCATTTTAGTAAATGTTAGGGAGAGTTGTTTTTTGCTTTGGGCACGATTAAATATTATAGTTTATACCTTGACTTGAACTCCACGAATTCATCATCACTTCCATTTAAAATGACCTTGGTGGTGTTGAACATGTTTGAGACATGGACATGACCTAAGTAATATCTTGTTAGATTATAGAGCATAAAGTAAGCAGAAGGGTTATAGATGTCAAGACAACCTTGGTATTTTTTAGCTCTGCAACACTGCAGCAGCATTACAATTGGATCCGATGTTGTCTGCTTGAACGTCAGGAGCATCTCAACCATCGGTCCCCAAAGAGTACATGCAATCACATTCCCCCTACTCAAACCATATACACAACCTGAAATTAATGTGTTTTGAAAAAAAAAATTCAAGTGTTTTTGAACAAATCAAAAACTCACTCTGGGTCTCCCAAAACCATCTCCATCAATTTTCTGGGCCTATCATTCTTCAGAATCGTTTTTGGATCTTTATCGTGCACTACCTGACCCATTATGTCTAGACCAAAGAAGTACATTAGTACGTCTTAATTAGTCATGTGATATTTTATATATTCCGATAAATCAAAATGTAGGAACTACCGATTCCATATTTCTCATCTATGGTGTCTTGAGCTTGCAATGAAGCAAAAGACACCAGTGAGTAAGTTCTTATGGGGAATGGAACCCCCTTGATCTCAAAGGCAGCACTTTTGTTAAAAAAACGCAGCCTATAGGCACTTGTTGAGGTTTTAAAGAACATGTAGTTCTCTTCCACCATGAAGTTTTTCACTGCAAATAAACGTCCCTCCTTGAAGATACCAATGAACTTGTTGACGAACTGGTCAGGAATATGTGCATGCATCCTATACCCCTGAAATTTACCAAAATGTCAACATAGATTTTACTTAAATGGTATAGCAAAGGAACATTATATAGAATTTTAAACGTCCAAACCTCCTCGTCATGAAACACAACCTCCATGGATTCTGGGAAACAGTCATGTGCCGGTTCACGATACACCCTTATCGCCCTGGCCTTGACTGCCCATGTTGTTTTAGTCTGATCAATCTCACGAAACAGGGACCACATTCCAACCATCTTTGAGAATGAATGCTTGCATGTATTTCTGTATCTTGCTTGCTATGAGTTGTGGAGACTGAAACAATATTGCTGCTGTATTTATAGCCGGAGGTCCCAGTCTATCAGCCACCTAAAACAACATGCACCACATACACAACCTAAGATTTTTGTAAATGGAATGGGGGGAAAACTGTTCATCTTAATTTAAATTTCAAAATTGTTTCTTCAGTGCCCGCCTAGAGTCTCCCACTTGACAATGAAGACACTGTGTACAACCAAAAAGCAGCCAATGAAAATGTAAATAGGTGCGTGAGAAATCCAGGTGAAATCCAACACTGATTTCTGCCAGCTCATCACCCCAAACTGACCAATGAAAACCATTTTTGAGCTATTAGAAAATCTGAAAAGGATCCATACAGTGACTCAACTGCTTAAAACCACACATCACACGCAAAAGTTATGGCGTAGTACACTTTGCCAGCTCATACTACATTCTTGGACCAATCAAAATTCATTCAGGTTTTGAGAAAATCTGAATTAAATCCAAGCAACACCCAGAAAGACTAATCCTTACAACTACGTGGAAACCTTCGTTAATGAACCTAACCAAAGCATCACCTAATGAGCATTTAATCCTTAAACAACGACAACGACGTTTTTGAGCGGGAACTGCTGGCCCTCTTTTATTTTACTTTTAGATTATAATAGATTTCTTCAAATAATAATAGCAAGAACTTATGCTTTGATAGTTATAATATAATAACATACAAATAACAAGAAAAACAATAATAATAAATATTAATACAATAACCGGAAAATTATTGATAATAGTAATACTCCGCATCATGATGATGATGATATTACATAAAGTTTAATTTTTATCTTCTACATATATATAACACAAAACGTAATGTAGAAGAAAAAATTAAAATGCAAAATTAAGTGAAAATGTTGAAACAAAATCATAGCAATCAAGTGCATCAAATAATTGAAATGCCAAGGCCATATAGACACTGTTGGGAACCAAACGGTTGAGTTATAAGGGAGTGGAAAGGAGACATAGAGACCATGATGTATGGTACAATGACTAAAACAAAATGTATAAGTGTAGATTACTTTAATGTTATACCAACATTTTTATTATTCCTAAAATGCTCAACTCTAGTATTTAAAATAATGCGATTGGAAGCCGGAAAGCCAGACGCGCTGTAAATATTTAGCTGCTCAAAAATATTCTCGCCTCTTAACGCTCCACTATAAATAAATAAAATGTCATCTCCTTACATTCCAGAAATGAGAAATCGATGGAGATGGGAATAGAATCTGTAGATGATTTTAAAGGTTGTATCATATTTTTCTTTTTTTGCATTAGTATTTAACGTCCAATGCATTTCTTCAATTAAATTTTTCCGTAATTGCATTTTCACAATTGACGCCCCACTTTTGGTGTTGCCGGGGATTTTCCACCGCAAGCTACAGATGCCAAATGAGCTATAAATTAAAGTTGCAGTAGTCATGGTTACATTTCTGAAAATTAATTGAAATTGGTGAAATAAAAAGTTTAAATGCATAGTTTTTTATAACGAGGTATATGAAGGAATAAAAAGACAAAATGTAAATCATGTTATAGAGATATAAAAAAAAAAGTAAATTGACCTGAGTTACGAATAGAAGCTATGAAATAATTTAATATGGCTCTAAATCATTATTACTTTATTCTTATTTTATCAATTTAATATCAACTACACAAACACACTTTTCTTAATAATCGTGTCACGTTCTTTTGTCTCAATCTTATTGGGACGGAGGTAGTAATAGTGTTTTTTTTTGCATTAGAGTTCTCTAAGTTTTAGTATATACTCCGTATTTGATTGCTATGAAATAATTCTCTGATTATTGCATTTTTACAGATGCCTCACTTTTGGTGTTAGGACGAGGGATGTTAGTATGTTACATTGCGAGTGACCATATAACTAAATGGGTTTTAAGTGGTGTCTAATTAGTTTTGCAGAGCCTTCCTTTTTCCTTTGTGTGAGAGAGGTAAAACCAGAGAGTTGAGAGCTGAGTGTTCTCCTCCTTCCTTGATGTCCTTTGTGTGGAACCTTGGGAGTGTAAACATGTTGAGTGGTGGAGTGAGTCTAGCCTAGAGTGGTGTATGTGAGTAGAGTGTGTAGAAAGACCTGAGCCGGAGACGGAAACGATCCTCACAGTGGTATCAGAGCCAGGTTCGTCGTCTGCCGCCGACCACCGCCGCCGCCATCGATTGGAGCTCGCCGGAGGTCCTGGAGCTGCCTAGCCGTTCGCACAAGCTCACTGAGGTCACTGTTCGCTGAAATCAAGGTCGCTGGGAGCTCAAGACGCCATTGCCAGAAGCTCGCCGTCGCCTGGGAGATCCGCCGCAGGATTCGCCGGTTGCAGAGGAGCCTTCGCCGGAATCCGTCACGGTGGTCGCCCGTCGCTTGGAAGCTCTGCCAACCGCCATCTGTTCGCCGGGGAACTCTTCGCTCGTCGCTCGCCGTCGGAGGATGCTCAGGGCTGGACGCGTCGCGTCCTTCGAAGAAGTCTGTGGAGTCGCGCAGGGGCAATGACGAATAACACTTCGTTAGTATTGGGCCCTCTGCTGACTTAGACTGCTGGACGGGCTGGAATTTGGGCCGCTGGACTGCTACTGGGCTTCTGGGCTAGTCTAATTGACTGCTGGGAGCTGATGTTGGACTGCTGACCTGCTAACCTGGACTGCTGGAGCAGTCTACTTAAGCTTCTGAATTGTTGCTGGGCTTGTAGATTTGGGCCGTTGGAGCTGCTGGAGCTAGACCTGGACTGCTGGACCTGGGCTAGTCAACCGCCGGTCAACGGCAGTCAACCCCTCCAGAAAAATCCCAATTTTTTTAAATTTGGGTAGGTAAGGTCGAAACGATCTCCTAGGGTTTCGCGAAGGTAAGTTTTCTGTAAACTTCTCATTTGTTATATTCCGTTTTTAATTTAATTTAATTTTATTCCCCCTCCCCGCGGGCCGCCGGTTGATTTAATCCCGGCCGCCAACCCCCCAGGTACGTTCTAAACCCTCTCCTTTGTGGTTGATTGTTTTAGTTGATTAATTAAATTGCTAAGTGTTATTTAATTTAATTGTTATTTGTAGGGGTGGTTTATTGGGTGGTAGGGGTAGAATTAATTATTTTTTAATTTTCTGCCCGGAATTGTTTTATTGCCATAAGTGTCCAATTTTGCTATGTGTTGCATGCTGCCCGGGGTTATTAAAGTGAATACTTTATAGCCCAGGTTGAATTATTTTCTGTCATTTCAGTCTGTTTAGCTTTGTGTTCCTTTTGTGGTTGATACCATGGTTGCGAATCAGTATGGTATGCTTCCATTTAATGGAAAAACAGATTTTGATATTTGGAAACAGAAAATAAAATGTGTTCTAATACAGCAAAAAGTTTTCAGAGCTGTCACTGGTATTTTCCTTGAATCAGAAGATAAGGCTAAGCAAATTGAAATGAACGAAACTGCTTGTTCTACTATTTACTTGAATCTGTCTGATTCTGTGCTTAGGAAAGTGGGTATTCTTGAGTCCGCTAAGGAGTTGTGGGAGAAATTGGATAGTCTCTATACTGATACCTCTTTGCCCGGGAAGTTGTTCTTACTAGAGAAATTCTTTAGGTTTAGGCTTGACCTGACTAAGGATATAGATGAGAACCTGGATGTGTTTAATAAACTGATACAGAATATCAAATAGGCAGGTGATAAACACATAGACGATTATACTCCCATAGTATTACTTAATGTCATTCCCGACTCTTGTAATGATGTTAAGTCCGCTATTAAGTATGGTAGGGATGAGATTTTGTTAGACATTGTTGTGAATGAGTTAAGGAGTAAGGAATTAGACCTGAAGCATGCTAGGGGTAGTGCTAGTCAGTCCAAGGACTCCGGTGAGGCTATGTTTGTTAGAGGTAGATCTAAGGGTAGGTCTAAGAACTCTAAGCAAAATAGTCAGGGTAAGAACACTAGTCAGCCTGGGAGGAAGAGGAGCAAATCTAGGAAGAGAGTGTGTTACAATTGTGGTAACGCTGGTCATTTCATTAAGGATTGCCCCCACCCTAAGAAGACCGAGCATGCTAGTGTAGCTGTTGATAGATGTGACCTTGGTGATATTTTGATGGTTTGTGACCATGTTAATTCTGGTGCGGTGAGCGTGGATGTGAGAAACTAAAGAGTGAGTGTCAGAGTGTGTAACCATATAACCTATATTCAGAAATTTTCAAGATCTATATATATATATATGGTTTTACTTAAATTTAAAACAATATTATTACTATCATCAATCCAAGCATAAACTCAATTTTGCGATTCAATTTCGTTTTCTTATCTAAAAGTGCAAATCTTATTTTTACATTTAAGATATTGCTACGTATATTTTTGTTTTTGGTCTTTTTTAAAATAAAAATGTGATCTAAAAAATGTGTCAAAATATTTATAGCATGAGATATTGTATAAATTCATTCTTATTCTGTATAATTAATATTGTTCGATATGTTCAATAAACAAATGCTGAATAACCTCCTCTTATAATCATGTACTCCCCCCGTCCCGCTATGATTGTCTCATTTTACCTTTTTGGTCCGTCCCACTAAGATTGTCACATACCTTATTTGGTAAAATTTGTGTGGTTCCAAATGATTCTTACTTTATTCTTTCTTTATCAATTCAATATCAATCACATAAACTCACTTTTATTAATAACTGTGCCACCTTCTTTTATCTCAAACTTAGGGGCGGAGGTAGTATTATTATTGAGCAATACACTATTAGTTTTTTGTTATGATTAAATAGACATACCCAAGTCGTTAATGTAATGATTAAATACATGTGTTATGTTGAAGAACCCAAATTAATAGAAGATTCCATGGAAAAAGAAGTAGCAATGTGAATATGTTATCCAATAATTTAAAGAGAGAAAAATCAGCCGTATATTCAACTAATTATTTTGCCGAAGTGATGATGTAAATATACTATCGTAACAAATAATGTAAAGTGAAATTTAAAAGAAAAATTTATCTTGAGATTTGGAGCATGCAAAAGGAACAATTTATAGAAGTAATTATGATCAAAACAAAATAGAGATGATATGAAAGACATCATAGGTCGACAATTAGCGGTTATGATCGCCGGTACTTAATTACTTATTAGAAATAGTTGTAGGAGACTACGAGCCCGTTTGATAACACGAAAATTCGCTGTTTTGGTTGATTCTGCGGAAATTTATGAAGTTTTGGCTGGAGTGACTGCATTGGTTGATTCTGCTGATATAAGAAAAAATTATTTTTAAAATATATTTCATTAACAAAATAAAGAAAATTTATATGTAAAAATAGCTAAAATGATCATCTACAGTAACTTCAGCCAATACAGTAAGAAAAGTAACTTCAACCTTACTTTTTCTGCTTATTACACAATCCAGCGCACGAAAGCAAAAATGACATATTTGCTAAAAAAAAAATAGTTGATAAATCTGATAAGCATAAGCTGAAAAAAAAAGTGCTTTCAAACCGCCTCTACATTTCACTTTCGAAAAAAATTGACTTTTGGTGATAATACTTTTGGGAAGTACGTTTAAACAGGGAATAATATAACCGGACTTTTGGTGATAATACTTTTGGGAAGTACGTTTAAACAGGGAATAATATAACGGGTACTATACTAATTGCCCTTAATAAGCCTGCTAGTTGACTTTTTTTTTTATAATCTCCATCGTAAGCTACTAAGCTCCAAAACACATGTTACACGGAGAAAAGGCAAGTATCCAACTGTTTTGCGAAGAAACTTAGCCGTACACTCGGTCCACATTTTGCTCCCCCCCAATCCGATACTCGATCGATTGAGAATAGCACAAACCAATTCCGGCGTCCATTAAAGATTCGTTTTTTTTTTCATCATAGATTCATAGATAGTAAAGTACTGGAATAGGATTCAAGTTTACTCATACCAGGTGGGAGGCGTGAGCTGAAAAGCTGAGCTGTGATGGGGAAGGCTCCGAGATTTCCGGGTATTAGCGAAGAAGTGCAGAAGCTTCTGGATGCGAATATGGACTTCGTAGAGGCCAGGCGTCGAGCCCGCGAGGCTTTCAAGGCCACCCAGCTCTCAATAGATCATTTCCTGTTCAAGGTATATATGTTCGATTGATGTTTGTATTTCGATTTCAGTATTGCCGCGTCTATTGATTTGAACCATGGATTTCCGTTTGTTTCCCACTAGAGTCTGAAACGCCTAATATCAATTAATCTACACCTTTATTGATTTATTACTTCATGTTTGGTGGAGGTTCATAAATTAGTCAACACGTGCGGGTACACTTTGTCTTCATGCTTTTTTCGTTGTGGCTGATGCATTCAATTAATTCATGGGATCTAGTTTGGTTTAGTCTAAATAAAAACATCCTTATTTATGGTTACAACCCATTTTTTATTTTTTCATTAAAGAAATTCTTTATCAACAGTTATATCAAGCTTGATTGATGGAATCCAAATTTTAATATATTAGCTGTACACTTAATAGCTAAAAAAGTATAAAGCAAGATACAAAACCATAGGTCAGTAAGAACACTCAACTCTTCATATAGAGCTTGCTTAAATTGGGAAGGACCAAATGCTTAATGTAGTACTCCCTCAATCCCAATTAAAGTCCCAATTTAATGTGATTTCTGTAGTCAACTTAAGTTTTTTTTAATATATGATTTTATATATTGCATTTTATCACATTCAAATTTGTTTTTTCCTATTCAGTAGAACTTGCAGTGTACTCTTTGAGGGTGTAGATTTTAATTATTAATTCTAACACACACACACACATATATACTCTGTATGTATTATGATGGAATAGTTGACTTTATGATTAGTCAACTTTAACCGAATCAAGAACTTTGGAGTAGGATGGGTGGAGTGTAAATATGGTGTATTTATCTTAAGATTGGATCATGTTGAAATAGGCCAGCAAGCATTTGTCAACCTCCTTTAAAAAATAGGATTTGTATGTTAAGACTTAAAGAGTATATGGACTTCTCACCATATATGGTTGAGGCTCATACTTGTATACTTTTATTGGCTTCTTGAGTTCATTTAACTGTGAAATTTTACCCAGCTATGAATTGATGAAGTTGGCTGATCTTTTCTAACTGCATATCCATTTATTCGTATTTTTTAATTTAGTTTATGTTCTGGTTATTGCAGGTGCCACGCTCTGATTTAAAAATAGAGGAGGTAATGGATATTATATCATCATACATGATTACATTTGATGTCACCTTGAAATATGGTGGTTATGTTTAGGTTTAAATTTGTAATAACACAAATACTAAATGTGCAATCTATTTATTGGTATTAAGCACTTAGTTGAGGCAAATTTCATCATTCAATTGGTTGAACGTATAGACTATAGTAATACTCTGTATATATAGTGAACTTAAGAGATCATATATTAAGGGTTATAGTAAATCTTTGAAAGTGAGTATTGTGTTTTCTTGGCAGTCCTATAAGCAAAACTCCAGAGGGATAGAGATTTTTTCCAAAAGCTGGATTCCGGCGACAAGTCCGCCCAAAGCTCTGATCTGTATATGTCATGGTTATGGAGATACTTGTACATTTTTTGTTGAAGGCAAGTGGTTTGTTAAAGCATTACAAGTTTCCATTTTCAAAAAAAAAAAAAAAAGCATTACAAGTTTCCATGTTAAATAATTTTGGAGGTAATTCAATGTGAAAGGTTGGCATTCTTTATAGGTATTGCTGCAAAGCTAGCATGTTCTGGTTATGGGGTATTTGCCATGGATTACCCTGGATTCGGTCTTTCTGAAGGTCTCCATGGCTACGTACATAGTTTTGACCAGCTTGTTGATGATGTCATTGAGAATTTCTCAAAAGTTAAAGGTAAAATCAAATATTTTTTTGTTTTTTTGTACATCATATTCTAAAATGTACTTTAGAGGTGTCAAGCGCTCTCACATAATAAAAATATTAAAGTGAAATTTTAATAGAGGTGAACTAGAAGCTAAATGTTTGTTGCAGAAAATCAAGAATGGTGCAGTCTGCCAAGCTTCCTCTTTGGACAATCTATGGGGGGAGCAGTTGCTTTGAAGGTGCACCTGAAGCAACCTCATGCATGGAGTGGTGCGGTTCTTGTTGCACCTATGTGCAAGGTAAATTAGATTACGATTTTCTACCATGATCGTTGCCATTAAAAGCTCTGTCTAGATGTCAAGTTTTCCCTCATCGTAAACAAATTAAAAATTCAAAATAACATATACAGTTCACAGTATAAGTAAGTATATAAAATACACAATCTAACATATAAAACTAATACATAAAATTATTCACATGGTTACTATACGAGAGCATGATTACTTTTTAATTCATTATACACATCCAGAGTGTATCATAACTTTTTAAAACCCTAAAATTGACAATGATACTCAACATGCCCTAAATATAATGCTTTGAACTACTCCACTTATCGGTCACCTTTAAAAAATGTTTTGGATGTGTTACATCTGAATATTTAAGAAAGAAATATCAGCTTGAACTACATTGAGTAGTCCTACCTAATTGATTGAGTTAAGTCCTTAGTGCTCCTTAATCTAAATGCATTATGACCCAATTGAATGACGTCAAACCAATCCTAAGTTATATCAAGATGGAATCTCAATTATTCCTAATGTCTTTTCTTATGTGTTCCACTTCAGAAACGTGGTCTATTTGTAGAAGTTATATGTGCATTGGATATATGACTTAATACTTCTAATAGATTGCAGATGATATGACTCCACCATGGCTATTGGCAAAAATACTTATAGGGATGGCAAATTTTCTTCCAAAACTGAAGCTAGTCCCTCAAACAGACTTAGCTGAGGCAGCATTCAGAGACAAGAAGAAGAGAGAACAGGTGCATCTTATCTCCTTTCTATGTAATATAATTTGAAATTCGATCATAGCAGGTTAGCGTTCAGATGTTCACATGATATATTTGGCCATGTGATGATTTTACGGGTCCCAATATTGAAACTGACCAAGTCTGTGTCCTCATTTTGAATCTTAGTCTGATAAATTGCTTATTTGAAGTTAATTGATTCAGCTACCATATTAAGGCCTTATTTTCCGTTTTTAAAGATCAATCTTATATGAGAAGTAGGCTAATGTCTTTAAAAGGTCGATGTGAGATAACTTGACACTACAAAACCACGTGTAATATATATGGATGCTGTATATGTTTTCTTTAAACTGTTTTTAATTTATTTGCAGGCAGCTTACAATGTCATTGCTTACAAACATAAACCACGTTTGAGGACTGCTGTGGAACTATTGAGGACCACTCAAGAGATTGAGAAATTACTAGAATCGGTATATTAACAGTTTCAACAATCCTACTTTATCCATTTTTACCCTGGTAGTCTCACAAGTTTAACATGTTTTGTGTATCAGATTGGAGAAAAAGTGATTATTCTCACGATAAACATTGTTCACACTCTATATATAGTACCCCATACGAATCACACAACATTCCATAAAACTCACTCCGTTTTTGCCAAAATATAATTTAGTAGTCTTGATTCTTTCGCTTATCAGCATCACCTTTTAATAGTAATGGTATGCATGCGGCATCAAAACTCTTGCTGTTGCTGCAAGTATTTTTATGTTAAGGATTGCTTCAAGCTCGGTTTATTTGCAGTATAATATTTTAATCATCCTTTTTCTATTTACCACTTCAAACACTTCGATCTTCAAGAGTAATATTTTTTATAAATATCATCTTTTTGTCAAACACCCTCTGATAAAATGTACACACATCCAAGGTTTATATACTCTGGTCTTGCAGGTTTCTCTACCCTTACTCATTCTGCATGGGAAGAATGATAAAGTAACAGATCCATCAGTGAGCCAAGCCTTGTATGAGAAGGCCAACAGCAAAGACAAGAAGTTAAACCTTTATGATGAGGCTTGGCATTCCCTTCTGGAGGGTGAGCCAGATGAGATGATTCACAGAGTAATTGGTGACATTATTTTTTGGCTTGATCAACATACATAATTATATATAACATTATTATACACACACAGACACGGATTAATGCACAATGCTATCCCTATTGTGTATGATACCTTTAATGGTGTATATATTAATGTATTGTGAGAACTCATGCATATGTTGAAGCATGAAGTTTGTTTTATTTTAGCATCTAAAAAATAAGCACTCACATGTTGCACATTCCCCATCCATCCATATTTAATCTTGTAGTCAGCGCTTGTTTGGCATTCCTTTACCAACCAAATTTTCTACCATAAATCCATACTTTGTTTACGGCATCTGAATTAAAGGATATTTATTTATTTATTTATTTATTTATCATTTATGTATTTATTTATTTATTAGTAGTATATATTAAAGGAGTACTTTTCCTTGGTTTTGTGATTTTGATCAGGGATGGTCATGACCGACGAGGGCTTTAATAAGAGAGATAGACACATGAAAATTAATAAATAGAATGCATCTTTCCTTATTTGAACGGTGATATATGTCTTTAGAAAGATATAGTTGATAATGTCAAATAGAATGTTTAAATGTAGACATTGTTGGGAAAAAAGTTAACGAAAATAGATATGTTAGCAATACCTTACCCTTTGCATACAAGATTATTATGTACTCCGTATATCATGTTTTTATGGGAATTCATCATATTAGTTTCTTGAGTTTTTGTTACTCAACGAAATTCATCAGATTATTACGATAGTATGTTCTTATGTTTTTATGGGAATTCATCAGATTAGTTTCTAACTTCCTCAAAGAGGAGGTTGACATTTAAAAGAACATATCTTTATATTTCTACCTGTGTACACTAGAACATACTATCGTATATAAATTATTTCTACACACCCTACAAATAATTCTCCGTGTGGACCGTGTGTATGTCGGTCCCACGGTGAACACCGTGCTCCACATCCAAAACGACGTAGTTTTGCACAATTTTTTTAAAAAAATTCGGGGTGAACAGTAACACGCGTGAACAGTAACCCGTCTCCAATACTGTTTTTTTATCCCAGTAGCGTGAATGATGTAACTCGCGTGTAAAATAATGTAACTCACGTTATTGATCAATGTAATTCAAGTCCAGACGAAATGTAACTTGTCAATTATGTAGTATAAGAAATAAAATATTGATTTCAATGATAACAATAAAAAAAGTCTAACTGGACAATTACTTTACGTAAATTGTGATTATGTTTTATTTTAAATATCATGACCATCAAAATGATTTTTTAAAAAAAATCATTTTTTTGTTTCAACAACCGGGGTTGATGTTTTTGATGTAATTCATGTTATTACAAATGTAACTCGTGTTTCCAGCAATGTAATTCACATTGATAAGAAATGTATTTTGAGTCAAGTTAAAATGTAAGTTATCTAAAATAGAATATACTAGTAGGAATTAAAACATTGATTTCAATGTAAATAATGAAAAATATGAGTCTAATTGCCCCATTATTTTACATAAATAGTGTATATGTTTTGTTATTAATATCAGTTCCATTAAAAATAAATTTTAATAAAAAAATTCATTTTTGTTTGAATAACCGGGTTTACTTTGTTGGGTAACTCGAATTGTTTTGTGGTGTAACTCGCATTACTACAAATGTAAATCACTTGTAAGCAAGATGTAACTTATGAAGGAAAATTGAAATGTAACTCACGCTAGTACATACGTAACTTGAGATAAATGGAAATGTAAATCGTTTTAATAAAAATGTAACTTTTTGTAGATAAATCAAAATGAGAACTCCAAGATACTTTGATTCATTATCTTCTACGTGCAATGTCTCTTGCCTTGCCAGCAGCCTCTATATAAGATACCCCACCACAGCCAAGATAGAGAGCTTGGCTTCATCGTTAACACGACGTGGACACAAAGCTAAGGAAGAACAGATTAACGACATGAAGACCAGGTTGTCCCACATCTTTCGGCAGTGAGCGCTACGGCATCAAATTCGAGCGCCGCCGCCTTGATGAGGACGAGGAGTTGCGCCGCCGCCACTTCCTCGCCAGCGATAGTGTCATGACCTTCTTCCTCGATGCTCCCTCTCCAGAAACGCAGTAACGTAAGATTAGAAAAACACAGATGGGAGAAAATAGACAGATGAGGGTGGTGGAATTTTTAGCCGTGCAGCAAGAACGGTGGGTTTTTAGCGTGCAGCGAGAAGGCTCTGAAATTAGCGATTGAGATTTAATAAAACTACAACGTTTTGGGATCGGTGCACCATCCACATGGTGTACCGATCCCACCGTATAATTTGCGTAGAGGACGTGTACACGACTGTTAGGTATAAAAACGTGTAGAAAAAATTGCGTAGGGAAGAATTTTTCTATACTAAAAAGTTGGGGAAAATACCTCGAATAGGACCAAAACTCATTCATTTTTTAAAAAAATAGGACCAAGTAGATTAAACTTCTTTCTATAGGATTTTTATTTGTAATTGAACACAAATATCCTTATAGGGTTAGAGCCACTGCCCCGGATTGTCCAATTCACCATAATCCTATTTGCCGCCGGAGTCTGTCATCACCACTATGGACTGATCTCGCCACCAACACACCCTTTTGATTATGCAAGGGAACTACGTGGGCAATTGATTAGGTTAATTAATTAATTAACTTACTAAATTAGAGATACTGAAATAGAAATGAAACGATTAGTTGTATTTAGGGAAAGTTAAACATATGTTCCTATTTTTGTAAGAAAGTTACTCCCTCCATCCAATTTTAGTTGCCTTGTTTGCCCTTCTTTTTATTTTTATTCAAAAGGATTGAGTTTTTATATTAAAATTGAGAGAAGATACAAGATAACATTCAGACAATCATGACAGATCCGATTGTGAGTCTTGAGAATAAACATAGAACCGACTTGATTTGCTAGACACGAAACGAGCAATTTAAAGCCAAAAACAATCGGAACTGAAATATTGTTTATCAAACGTACATCAGAAGTCCAAATTTTCAATCCAAACCTACTGAAATTAAAATAAATACAAGTACTACTAATTGAAAAATTAAATTGAAATAAAGTCTTTCCACAAAAGCTTTCATGGCATGGAGGTGGTTCTGGAGGAGGATGGCCTCTACAATGTCTACGCACTCAACAAGAAAGCAGACAGAAATCCCTGACTAAACGTAGTTAGCTGAGACACCAACAGAACTCCCTACATCGAGAGAGACAAATCACCCCAGAGCACCAGTGCCTGAGAAAGAACCGTCATAGAACACAATCAACACAACTAGAAGAGAAAAACAATCCAATTGAATTAGATAGTTTGGATCACATCACTAATCCGATCGGAGGTAGAACAGAACCTATTCAATGTTGCACTGCCACATAGATATCGAAGTGATTATGTTTCTTCTTGCGCGTCCCTCTATATCAAGTAACCCTAACGAGGAGTCTTGTTTTCCCTTTTAGATTGTCCCAATATAAATATCATATTTCTTTTTTTACAAAAATTTGTGATCTATATTATTTGACTTTATTCTGCTCCAATCTCAAGTGCAACATTTAATTTTCAAGTACATTATTGATAATTCATTAAAAAAACTACATTATTAACAACTCTCACAAAGTAAATTCTCACTTCTCTCTCTAGAGAGAGGAACCCTAGCGACCGTCTCACCTCTTTGTAGGGGTTGAGATTTTCCGCCGCCCCTATTAATATGGGGTTAGAGCGGCAAATTATACTGATTTTAAGTATTCTAATGTTTGGGATTGCAACTACGTCGGAGGAGACAACGTTGGCGAACGAACGAGGTGCGACTAGGAGATCGTATCGAGGCTGGATCGTGAAGCCTCGGTCGACCATTGTCACGGTGGTTGAGTTGGTATTCACCCATATTGCAAGAGTTCGTCCTCCTCAGAAACCATTTCAGTATTATTTTGTATTTAGTTGCAATTGTGTCTGTTTTAGTTCGAGTATATTTGATATGAATGTTTGGATTTATAGAGTTCTTTTGATAGACATGGTTTCAGTTCCTATCATTTTAGACCTAAATTTGTCCTTTTCATGTTTAGTGAGTCTTCACGATTGAGAGCTCGTTTGGTAGCACGAAAATCGACTGTTTTGTCCGATTCTGCTGAAATTTATGAAGCTCTCGCTGAAGTGGCTGCATTGACTTATTTTGCTGATTTAAGAAAAATGATTTTTAAAATATATTTTATTAATAAAATAAAGAAAAAATTATATGTAAAAATAGCTAAAATGGTCATCTACAATAACTTCAGTTAATACAACCAGAAAAGTAATTAACCTTACTCTTTCTACTTATTACATATTTCAGCGCGTGAAAGTTACAATTACGTGTTGTGTGAAAAAGATGACTAAGGATGTTTTTACTTGGACTGTAATTTGCCCCAGACCAGACCAGTTCAGACCAGACCAAACCAGTTCAGACCAGACCAGACTTGGATAGTTATAAAAATACAAAGAAACCAGACCTTACCAGACCAGACCAGACCAATTCAGACCAGACCAGACCAGATCAGACCAGACCAGACCAGCAAATTACAGTCCAAGTAAAAACATCCTAATGCTGGAAAAACAAGGGTTTCCAAACAGCCTTATCGAAACCCAATTTCTCCCCAATATAGAAAATCTCGTGCTCAAAAAACAACTCTCGCAAAGTAAAACAATTTCTCCCCAATATCGAAACCCGTCTGCAAATGCGGTTTAGATGGTTACCATTTTATGGGATTTTCGCTTTTACCGTGCAATCAACTTTCCTGTTTCTATGATGCATCATGAAAACTCCACCCAAACATTTGCCCAACTTCCCCAAAGGAGAAAGCTTTATACTCCGTACTTACCGCAATCCTCTCTGTGTGACTGTATGTGTGATTTGGAATTTAGCTCCTCTCCAGTGACCGGAATTTTCCAAATGAAAGAGATTAGAGGATAGTGGGGTAGGGACAAATAAAAGGTACGGTTGGTGATTTGCAAGAGAGATTGAAAAGGAAATGGAGAGGAATATGAGTCGTGTATTTGTATGTATTATGTATAGAGGAGCTAGCGGTGCTGATGTGCGCACTGGGATGAATCTTCAGAAACCGACAGCCATTCTTTTCTATTTTTTGCAGGTCGATTTTTTTTTATCTTAAGTGTTTTTGCCCTCCCAAACAGCCCTTCATGGCCGCCTTTTCTTGCTTTGCCTCCCCCCTAATCTCCGTTTCTTCCCAGGTGGGTCTCATTTATGATGTTCTTAATTTCATTTGGTGTCTGGGCAATCGTGATTATTCTGATTCTATGCTTCTTGTGTATACTGAATTCCTCAGCTCGATTTATCAGAAAATTGTGCGCCTTTTGTTTGATTGGGTTGGTATCTGGTTGAGTTTGTTTTCCTTTAAGGCTCTGTTTGGTAGCGATTATAAGCTTATTCTTGTCGGTGGTCATAACCGCTTTCCTTTCACAAAATTTAGATGATTCACCCATTCCAGCCAAGTAGCTCTTATCAACAGGGTCTAAGAGTTTTAAGGGATTATAGTGTTTAGTCATCCCTTGATTGATTCATGTTAGCTGACCGCAAAATCTTTTAGGATTAAAAGGATTGGATGTTGTTGTATGTTGTTGTTGTCATCCCACATGGACAAAATTTAGAAATACAAAATGATGTATAAGTCTTTTGGCTACTCTTTCTATCGGGCCGATGTTTCAAAATAGAAATAAATAAGTTTATGTTTGTTCTTCAGGGTTATAAGTTTTACATATAGTCCCAATTATTGATAGGTGGAGGGGTCTGGATGGGAGGCACAGTTCATATTTTGGTAATTTGATTACATATATTTGCTTTGGGTGATTTGTATCCTTCTCAAAGACAAACAATTATTTAACATGCATGGGCTACCTCTTGTAGCTCAACTACTACCCAAGTTTGGGTTCAAAGGGAAATCAGAACTCAGTTATTGTCACTGCTAGAACTGCAAATCACAGACTTTACTACCAAAAAATAGGGAAGGGCAATCTGTGGAGTGAATGTAGCTTTCTTGGGAAATCAGGGGCCTCAGTTCAACCCATATTTGGGAGAAAGTCTTTGCACAGGAAGAAGTTCGGGGTATCTGCATCATGTAATTATCTAAAGTTTTTGCATAGAAGTCTCATCTGTCATTTGTGTGCACTTTAGCACTTTGGGTAACGTATTAACTTATATTCTTGTTTCCCCAGTCGATTCACTTAATGGAGTCATATAAGTACATAATTTGTAATAATATACTACTACTTTATTGATATTAATCCAGTCTAAACTTACAACTATTGCTAGAGGCTATTACAATGCTTATTTATATGGAAAGTAATGGACCTAAACTCAGTAAGAATTGGAAACCTAAATTTTAAGCCTGATATGAATAGGAAACACAAACCTTGAAACTCATAGGATTAAGAGACTATAATACTACTTAACTGTAATACTTGAACCATTATTTTATTTTTTGTTAAAGCAGAAGTTTCTCATCGTCATCATTACCCCAGTGCCGCAAAGGCTGCCACCTACGGTGGGGTAAGGAGGGGCCGGATGTACGCAGTCTTACCCCTGTACTGAAGCACAGAGAGACTGTTTCCGGATGACCCGTGGTGAAATTCGCGTCGAAAATTTCATTGATTGACTGTTGCTGCTTCATAACAAAGAAGCGTAGCCGATTTAGTGAGCCATTTGAAAGAAAAAGTTAGTGTGGTAAAAAAGCACCCCCATAAGATGGATCTGGAATATCTTAATATGATGTTCTTTGAAGCTTAGAGAAGGATTTGATTGAAGTTTACTATTGTCTTGTAGTTTTGTCAGCTTCTCAAATTGCTAGCAGTGCGTTTACATGGGGGACTGTAGCCGTCCTTCCATTTTATACATTCATGGTTGTTGCACCGCGGTCCGACTTGGTAAATCTCTCCATATGCATCACCTGTAAATATCTATCCAATACCAACAAAATATTTTATATTGCAACTTTTTCTCATTGTTTCAAACCCATCTCTCCCCTTGTTGTGTCAAAACGGGATTGGTCATTATTTGCAATGCAGACCAAGAAATTGATGGGAAATGGCACACCATTTGTCGCACTTGGAGTGGTGTATGCCTATCTTCTGTATCTTTCTTGGACACCTGATACATTGCGGTTTATGTTTTCTAGCAAGTATTGGCTGCCAGAGGTTTGTGTGCTCAACCATCAACCATTGCATTGTACTTGTCCTTTTTGGCATGAGTCTGTTTGGTTTCCAGGAGTGGTTTATTCTGCTCATTAAAAGAATAAATAGCTTTTGACATAGTTATTTGGCTAAACAGATTTTACCAAATTCTTTTTCTTGAAAGCGGGGAGTATTCAAAATTGGTTTAGAGTCGCTCAAATGGATCATAAGACAATTGTGAAACTATAGTAAAAGATTAGTTCAAGAAACAGTCTTATGAACTCATCATTTTGTCTAATTTTTTGATGTGGGATTCCAGAAATAGCCCGTGTCTTTATCTAACGGACCCTGGTCACTCTACCTAGATGTTAGCCTCAGTCTACCCATAATTTTACTTTAGTTAAGGGAATGAATAAATTAAATTAACTTGTGCATTGACATCCCAATATTCCAGCTTCCCGGCATGGCTCAGATGTTTGCGAATGAGATGACTCTGGCTTCCGCGTGGATTCACCTGTTAGTGGTGGATCTTTATGCTGCAAAGTACTCTATCTTAATTTCCCCGTCCCATCTATTTTGCTTTTCTCGGGTGGTGTGTGTCAAATAAAAGTATTGCGATGAATATTGATAGTTTTTGAACAAACAGGCAGGTGTATGAAGACGGTATGCAAAATGATGTTGAGATCCGTCATTCGGTGTTGCTATGCTTGCTATGTTGCCCCATTGGAATTCTGGTTCATATCATAACCAAAGCTCTAGTAAATAGCCAGAAAGGAAAACGCACAATTCAATAGGAATTCAACAATTTGTTTCTACTGCACTGTTGCTTTTATCGCTCCAATGGAATTATTAGAACTGTTAAATCATTGTTAAGATGACCATCGCGAGCCTTATTTACACTTTTGGACTTTGGAGTTATGTTAATTGTTCTCATGCCCATTTGGTAGCACCAATTATGACTAGTTTATTATAATTTGGGGGTGGGCAAATCCATTAGGTCAACTGTACGAAACCGAAGTAAATCAAACCAAGATTAAACTATATGCAATTCGGTTGATTTTGGCAGTATTTATTCCGATTTGAAGTAATGCAAGCTGAAGTGAAATTGTGAAAAAAATGAATAAAATCGAACTGACTAAAATATTCAACAAGTTTTTAACATATTTTAATATTCAACTGAACTGAAACCATATGTGATATGCCCACTCGGCCACTCCTAATGTCATTGCATTAGTGAGGTGATCCAGCCTCCCAAAAGTAGGGACCATAACTGTCCACTCATGGAAATTTTAACCAGAACTAGTAATACGCAGTGTACATCAGTACATGTATTTGTCAACCAATTTCTTTAAGGAATAACTCACTAATGAGAACTGATGTTCTCTTAAAACTGCTAACTAATGTTCTCTTAATCTTGTTTTTTTTTGCTTATTATTTTATTTTAATTACACAACACAAGACAAAAATTAGACCAGTCTAATTGGATGGATGCTATAGTACAGACAAGAACCAGACAAAATGAAAAACATTCATATAAAAAAAATCCGGGTGAAGATAATTGGTTCACAAACATTACGTGATTATACATTAAAAAAACCATTACGTGATTATTGCACGTGTGCTTGATACAGTCTAACCAGTTCTCTTGGTCTGAAAAATACTCCGTAAGAATCAAAAGGGCAGAGGTAAAGAAGTGAAAGTCAATATAAGAGGAAGCGTGCAGAATTTAATAATCACATTAAACCTAAGCATTAAAATATCAAAATATCAAATTAGTGTGAATGGTATCCAATGTTAGCTACTTAGCTGTACAATAAATTCTCAACTCTAAAATTGGGGGAAAATATAAAGAAGTTTGGTCATATGACAGCACCTCAAGATATTACACATGTTGCATTGTTGCCCCAGATTTCTATGACTAAGGAACTTTGGTGATGTCATTGGCAATAATTGAACCATGCGTATAGTTTTCCTGCAACAAATAATTAGTCAATGACACGTATTAGTGAACTCTAACTACCATAGGTTTTCTATTTGAACTCCAGTTCTGTTTTTATTTCAACTCCAACTCTTATAACCAGTACTTTGAGCCATTGTTTGGTTGGAGGACTTTAGCGAGATAGAGATGAAAGTGAGGGGGGAGGTCTTGTGTGCTTTAATAGTGCCATGGGAGGGTTAGGGGGTGGAGGAGCTAAGAAGATCTCTTAACTCTTCATATTTCACTCCCCAAATTCAAGTATGTTGGGGTTTCATTATCATCTACGGAGTATTGAATCAAAACTGTTCTTCCTCAATATTATTTTCATATAGTTTACTGCATTTCTATTTTTTTTCATATCAAATGTATTATTTTATACCCTTTTTTGTAAGTAATATCAACAGTCTCCATTGAACCACACAAGTAAATTTTAATTACTCCATTTTCCTCATCTGCTCTACCCATTTATCCTCCCCAAACAAAAGGGTGACACAAAGAAGTGCAAGTCATTTAAGAGGGAGAGTGCATTTTTTTAATAATACATAGCATATATTAAGTTGGCATACATTAAGTTGGAAGAGGGGACATTTCAACTCGATCATCCAAGAACCCATTTGACAGACTTGAGCTTTGTGAAGAACCCTTCCTTGTAATGTCCAGTGATGTTGCTTCATATATCCCTGGAATTATCATAATAATAATATAATGATAATAATAATCATTATTACTCTGTATTATGCATGTACTCAAATACAATGAACTAAATGGGAAGTCCACAAACGAACACATGTATATATGCTCTTTCTTAATATACCCATTATTGACACATACACTGTAAATATAAAAAGTATGCTAAGGGCCTGTGTGGTAGGCCTCACTTTTGGCATGTTAACCTTATAAGCCTATATTTACTACACTAACTGGCTAAGTGGCTAACTAACTTCAGAAGGAGTAATTATTTTTAATGGAAATTGTTGAATTTGTTATGCTTCGGTGTTTCTTAGAAGGTTTTTCTGCATTAGAAACGTTAAGAAGAGAAAAAAGGCTTTATATTCACCAAATCCCAAAATGGTTGCACATATCAGAAAACCAGGAAGGGAGAAGTCCATTTTGTACGCAAATTCCATGACAATGATGCATCCTCCAGCAGCCATTAAATGCCTTGGAGAAGAAAAAACCATTTGCAACCTACAAATAGATTGAAAAGCAAAGATAAATTCTGTTAGGCTGCACTTTATTACAAAATTAAATTTCTCAATAATGACATGAATTAATGAAACACATTATTTGCAAATGAATTAGCTATCTCTTCACAATCATCAACTTTCACCCATTGAAACGTCCGAAATTGTGTTCTAAATCATGTAAGCTATTCATATCCTAGAATAATATATCACATACTCTATTAACCATCGATAAAGACCTTGAGATCGGTATGGATATTTGGCTGTAGTGGTTGAATCATCAACTTTTGGCTACCAAGTTGAGCCTTAAGTTTAGAAGAAAAATGTCTATAGGAACTAGGAAGGAGATAATTTTGATAAGGTACCTTTCCTCTGCAATACTATCAACGTAGAATATCAATATGATGCCAAACAAGATGGTACTTGTAAAAGTCCATGCAGAAAATGGCAACTCTACACTATTTGATCCCTGAAGAACTCCCAGACAAGGAAAAGATAAAGAACGCTCAAATTCATGAAGACACTGATGTAAATGTTACTGAATGGCATAAGATCATAAAACTAAACTCACTATAATCATGTCCCACATGGCAATTGGAAACAAAAAACATGTTGCAGATGCAATTGTTATGGCATTGAGTCGTCTCTTCAATTGATTCTGTGCATATATAGCATAGTAGTATATACAAGTTCATTTAACGAGACGTAAGAGAGGAATTGCTATTTTTTATGAAATGGCTGAAATTGATAGTTTTAGCATTATTTTATATATTAATTTATTTGATTATTTAAGTGTGCATTTTTTAAAGGTATGCATTTTAAGTTTTTATACAATTCAGCCACTTCACCATATTTAGTCTTATCAAACAGATGCTAAGGGATAAGATTACTTGGTACCTTAAGGGACACCCGCCGAGCAATCACTCTTCTCAATGCTGATAAGATTCCGGCAAAGATGGGGATTATCATTTCCTTCATGCCTACAACTTGTTCCATCTTTGTCTCATTATCATCATTAGTGCTATCACCGAATGGTATCTTTATGTTAAGTTTTTTATATGTACTCTCTGACATGTGAACAAAATGTGGAATTTGGACAAATCCTAAATCCTTATATATCATTTCATTCATGCCTACAACTTGTTCCGTCTTTGTCTCATTATCATCTTTAGCGCTATCACCAAATGGTATCTTTATGTTAAGTTCTTTATATGCATACTCTTTCATGTGAAGACATGTGGAAATTGGACAAATCCTAAATCCTTATCAGTTATGTAAAGGGGTCACTTGGAACTCGGAAAATAGTAGGGAAATAAAATACGGAGAACATTAAAAGGAAATTAGGTTAAAAAGAAAATGGGGTGGGAGATTAAAGATTAGTTCAAACTCAATTAATTTATTTTTGATATCTGTCCAAAATTGGACGCGATTTTCACTATGGGTCATCCGGAAACAATCTCTTTGTGCTAGTACAGTGGTAAGATTACGTACATCCGACCCCCCCCCCCCCCAATTACCCCACCGTAGGTGGGAGCCTTTGCGGCACTGGGGTAAATGAAAATGATGAAATGATGATCTGTCCAAAATTATTTTATTTATTTATTGATTAAATTCTATATTTCTATTATATAAAAATTTACCTTTATCAACATTCAACTCCCATTTCATTTTCTGAGGTACAAGTAAGCACAAGGAAATTACTTTCCTTCCCACTTTTACTCGTTAGCATCATCTGAGATCTAAAAGATGTCCATTACCCAATATTAGTTTGAGAGACGTCAAAGGATATAAATTGGTGAATATGTTGCCATTGCCCATCCTTGAGATAAAAAATAGAAAGATGCCAACATTGCAACGAGTCCACCCACCTGATGAAGATGATAGAAAATTTAAGCTAATTAACACATTAGAAATGCAGGTGAAAGTAGCGAAACCCATTCAGTTCCATGGTTACCAATATTATGCGACATATGTGAACAGCTAAATACAATTTGTATATGTTACAGTTTGTGTTCCTATATGTGCGAGTGAATGCTAGATACTCAAGTTGTACGAAATATCTAAATAAAAGTTGCACACCTTTTTCCAGATGTGGCCCTTCCTTCCATATAATAGAGCAGATACTACTCCAAGAACAGCACCAGAATATTCGGCTAATATGGCTCTGCAATGGACAATAACCCAAATTTAAAAGGATTATACTCATAATGCAGGATGACTATATAAAAGTAATGCAAAAAAATAGTGTTGCTTTTAGTTGTACGGTTGTACCACTGGCCCAGCTAAAATTTATGATAGTCAAGGCAATGTGAAATATGTTAGTATAGCTCAATAACTTATAGGTGATAGTGAATATCTAATGATACTTGTTTAAATGAAGGAAACCAATTAGTCCATTACACTGTTTCAAATCCAGTTGTGAATGATTTTATCAGTGCACCACCATCACATTGAAACCCTAATATCCAAAGTTTGGTTCAGGAGCACATGGAATTTGAGACTAATACTCCTTCCATCCCTAAAATTTTATCGGTGGTAAAAGATTTTGTTACCCCCTATAAAAAGTATGAAGCACAACATTTATTACTCATTTTCCAATCTCTACCATGTATTTTTGGGGCATATATGCAAAGTCAACTCAAAAATTTATTTTTCCTAAAAACCCGTGAAGGCATGAAGTCAAATTATGAACTTAATTTGGGGACGAAGGGAGTATTATTATAGATGATGGGAAGTAATTATTTTTTTAAGTTGTTCATAAAGATAACACACAGTTCACTTCTTTAAATACTCTACAATTGATAAATTGGTATGCTAAAACAGTAGTAGCATGTAATATAAGGTCACACTGAGTCCTTGAACATAGCTTATATCAGCTATAGAGACCACCACACATGTAACATCTCTCAAGAATTCACATACCGCACAGGACCACAAGATTTAAGGCCTTTCCCCCACATGGTGAAGTATAGTGCTGTAATGGCACCATTTATCACCGAAGGAACTACCTGTGAAGAAAATGACATTGAGAAATAAGCAAGTGTGATCATCACCCTTTAAATCGAGAATTGGTTGCTAGCATAAGAATAAAAAGAAGAGGAACTAAAAACATAAGGATTATTTCCACAAAACCTGTGTATTAGCCAGTGGTCTGCCCTTCCATGGCTTTTGCATTATCAAAAATATGATGCAAGACGGAACAAGACAGCTGAAGATAAATAGTACAACAGAAGCCCCAGTCTGAGACAAATAGCGATACATTGAGTAAACTGACCATATTCTCATGAAGTTTCCAATAAAATGGATTATCTGCAAGGGTGTTTGCCTGCATTTTTAACCTCCATATTATCAGTGCGAGAATATGAGGAAGCTATGTTACCATTTTTTTCAGCTAAGGATGAACCTAGCCTGGAGGTGCACTTCAATGTAAGCACAATTAACAAAGTTCATCAGCCATCATTGCTATGTTACCAATTTTTTGCCATAATAAATCTAAAACACTAGATAACCACCATCACTATCAGCACCGTAACCCTACTAATTGGGGTAGTGGCATTAAACATATAGCCAAATAAGTATATTAAATCAATTAACACATTAGATTCAAGCAAAAAGCTTCTTGTGATGTCTTTCATATTACAACCTTCTTGAGAAGGTATAACAACCTTCTTGAGAAGGTATAATGAAATGAAAATCCTAGTAAGTTATCACTTATCATCATAGATTATGTCTACATGCATGAAAAACATCATGAGACGGCAATCAATTAGGATTTTTTCGTCAACTCTATTAAGTAACTGATACTGCAAGACCAGCCTACATGAATTGCATGATGGTGATGAATGATGACTAGCTACTATCATGTGTATTTTTTCAAGAAAATGATACACACATGATTCACAGCTCACAAGGGAATGCTTAAGTAAAGAATCATTCTTGTTGTACACACTTTTGTACACAGGCAGTTGACAGACAAATGTTGCCTTCTTAACGAAGGCAAAATAGGGGGGTGTACAAAAGTGTGTACAAATAGATTTTTTGTTAAGTAAAACACTACAGCTCGCATGAAGTCTAAAATTACTGCAACTTCAGTTTAAGCAGTACTCTCTCAGTGGACACATTTACATATTCTCAAAACACAGTGCATCTCTAAACTGTGTCAGTGCACTCCCCTTCGATTATTCTTTAGCTTACTTTACGTAAACTCATCTTTCTCAGAACTTGTGACAGCTAAGTAAGTCGTCAGCATTTCAAATTTCCATAATAATGAAACGAAGTATTCACGTACTTCATTAGAAGATAATAGAATAACTGAATAACCAAATACTGTAAGCCTGTATTGTATGGAAAAAACTAACAATAAACATGGCAATAACTACGGATTTCCTTAAGAGTATAACTGATGCATACCTAAACGCAGCAGCCTGAGAAGGGCCACCTCGATCTTCGGAAATTGGCTTAGGGGACATCATTTTTATGAGTATATAATTCGACTAAAAGGACCAGTTAGTTGTTGATTTTAATCATCATGGTGAATTTCGATCTGGAAATGGAATTCTGAAATGATGCTTTGTAGAATTTTCACCAGCTTGATGAGGGGAGTTCAGAAACCGGAGTTTGATGCCAGTCAAATCCTAAATTGGGCTATTATTGCTGAATCTACTGTTTAGTTACCGGCCCGTTATTCATTTTGAGCCACGGGCCCATTTATTATTGTGTTTCTTCTACTTTCCATTATCTTCTTTGTTTGAGGGGTGTTTGGATCTGATTCTCAAAACTGATTCTGCTCCTTCAGGAAGCAGAAGCAGAAGCTGGAGTGTTTGGCTAAAATTCCAGAAGCACTTCTGGTGCTCCAATTTACTCTTAGAATCAGTTTTTTTAGAAGCTGGTAGGTACCGGCTTCTGAAAATTGATTCTGATTCTGCTTATGCTTTAAAAAAGAAGCAGCAGAATCAGTTCCAAACACCCCTGAAACTCCAAAACTAGCAGCTAACTCCCCCTTCGTTTCTACCGACAACAATGGCTGCTTCTTCAATCGGGACCTTAATTCCCCTCAACTTTCCGTATAGTAAAATGAAAACGAGAGCCCAAGCTATCCTCACTAACGGCAGCAAAATGAGAGTTCCGTATGAGCTGAAACAAGGGCAGACGCGTCTTTTCCACAAGCTTCCATCTGGTCTGAAAATGGAGGTCATTTTCCAGAAGAAGGGATTTTTTTCTGATCCAGCCAAGGAACTAGAGGAGTCTCATAAACCACCCATAGTTTTTGTCCATGGAAGCTTCCATGCAGGTTGGTGTTGGGCTGAGCACTGGTTGCCATTCTTTTCTCGACATGGATTCAATTGCTATGCTGTAAGTCTGTTGGGGCAGGTACAGTTCATTCCAATCTCCATTTTTTCTTCCATCATTCGGAGTAATTGTTGTTTCCCTCGATTTTATTTTAGTCAGGGTTCACATTTTGGATTTGTTAGGTTGAAGTATGAATTTGGTCTCTATATGTTTATTTTTTTTTTGCTCCTTTCCCTCAAAACTGATGAACCTTTTTCACTTTTAGCGTCAAGATGTGCACTTTACTGTTGACATTGTGGCAGAAGTCGGGCTCTCAATTCCAATTCTGCCTCCCATTTTTTTTTAACCTAATTCCCATTCATTCTCACTTTTTCCTAACGAACAATACTTTTTATTTGATCTAAAATCTACACTCACAAAAAATATTGGTGAGAAAAGTATAGAATATGTGTTTTTTCAATCTTATTAGTCATACTCACTTCCACACTTCCATATTCCTCAAAGCTTTGAAAGTCTACAACAACTTCACCTTATTATTCATTTTAAATTGTCAGGGTGAAAGTGATGCACCTGCTGCTCCAGTTGCTGGTTCCCTTCAGGTTGTGGATATTACCATCTAATTAATGCCAATGAGATACATTGGGGGCGATTGATTTCACTGATTGCTTTCCTTTTGCGTTTGCAGTAGACACATGCAAATGATATTGCTGACTTTATACATAAAGAAATCAGGCATCCACCAGTATTGATTGGGCATTCATTCGGAGGGCTTATTGTGCAGTATTATATTGCCAATCTATCAACGGGGGACCAAAAAGGTAAGTAGATTCTGGATTTATTGGTTCTTTTTACATGATAAAAGAGCCATTCCATTAGTTTTTGTTTGTTTTTAAAAAATGATGTGTCACTTAGGAAGGTGTACTCATGTTGTATCTATGCCATTGCCGAGCTGCATGCGATAATTCCTTAGATTCAAATGACCATGCTTACATAGGGTTTGTTTTTCTAATATTTCCTTATTTGTGTTATTTTTTATTTTATGGTTTGAATTTTTTGCATTTTTTGGTTTATTTTCAAATTTGTAAGATATAAAACTTATTTGGAAGGTCTATTTTACATATTTAAAGGGTGGTTTTATACACATGCTAAAACTAGTCTATATAAATATCATATCATGAATGTTATTACATTTATGTAACAAAAAGTATCCCACGACATGATGAAAGTGGTTTAAAAGACTTATATATATATATATATATATATATATATATATATATATATATATATATAACTACAGTATCCTACACACCATGAGAATGACTATACTAGGAAAGACGTTTATTATGTGGAATTCAAATATAAGAAATAAACTAATTTAAATTATTTCAATGTAATTAATATTGAAAATCTTGAACCAATCTTTAATCCCTTATTTACTGTAATTGTTAAAGGATGTTTAAGTTAAAACCTCTTGAAGAGATCTTTATGCACATTCCGTTATAATATTTATTTTTGATTTGTTATATTCCTTTAGAAAAACTATGTATGTACTTTATGTTATTTTTCTAATTATTAATTTGAGAACATTATTACCTAATAAATAAATCATTTAACACCCTGCTACCATTCATGTAGATATGATATCCAGTATTAACCTTATACTCACATTTCGAGTATATTCACGGGTAGCAAAAGTACCCTTCACCAATTTAATTGAAACTACCATATATATTACAACTCAGGCATGATTCAAGAAAACAAAAGCTCATACCCCAGACTTTCCAAGGCTGTGCTTGTTTGCTCTGTGCCACCATCAGGTAATAGGTACGTCATGCAGCTGAATTAGCATTTTATAGTGGTGTTAAATTATTTATCTAAATGCTTTTCTTTTTTAAATTCAGTGGGATAGTGTGGCGATATCTTTTCTCCAAACCTATTGCCGCTTTTAAGGTTTGTGATCTTGCTTCAAAGAACATTTTGGATGTTTTTTTACCTGTTTGAGCTATTCAATTTTGAATCAATAGAATTGATGTATGAATTTTGAATACCAACCTTTTGAGCAGGTAACAATGAGCTTGGCAGCCAAGGCTTTCCAAACGTCTCTACCTCTTTGTAAAGAAACATTTTTTTCAGCTACAATGGATGATAATTTGGTTCTTCGGTTAGTGTAAAAAAACTGGCCTTATGGTTGTTAATGTTACTCTTTTTACTATGGAGTCAAATAAGGAGCCCGTTTGGTAACATTAACATTTCATGAATATATTGAATCTAGTGAAATTGCTAAAGTTAAAATGGATTAATTCGCTAAATAATGAAGTATTATACTACCTCCGCCCCCCTAAGTTTGGGACAAGAGAACGTGACACGGTTATTAATAAAAGTGGGTTTATGTGGTTGATATTGAATTGATAAAATAAGAATAAAGTAGGAATGATTTAGAACCACACAAACTCTACTAAATAAGGTATGGGACAATCTTAGTGGGACGGACCGAAATGGTAAAATGGGACAATCATAGCGGGACGGAGGGAGTATTAATGTATATATCTATTAATTTAAAAAAATGTATGAAAAAGCTAAACTTGTCCTCTTATGCATGTTTATCTAATTCTGCCAGGAAATTACTTATTTTGGTTGCTGGGATGTTTTTACTTGGACTGTTTTCAATCCCATACCAGACCAGAGTGTGACAATTATAAAATACACAGAGACCAGACCAGTTCAGACCGGACCAGAAAATTTCAATCCAATTAAAAACATCCTTAGACATTTTAGCGCGTGAAATAAAATGTTAGTGTTTTGTTTTGGTCAGTCTAGGCGATATGGCTAATAAGCCAATGAAATGGATTACAACATGTGGACTGGTGCTAAAACAATCCCTGGTGAAAGTAAGCCTTGCCAGGATTTGCGAGGCTTAATAGCATCGTGTTAACTGTACATTAGTATCATATTGTTTGCTTTGGGTTAAGCCAAGTGACCAACACAAATTTGTTTTTGGATACCTCATTAAGCCTCAGGCAGACACTTATATTTAAGGTGATCCGTGATTCTCTTTAATATTTTCAATGTTGCACTTGAGTTGCACCTCAATAGGAACCTAATGTGGTCCATGCAGGCCCGGACCAAGAATAATCCTTTAGGTAAATAACTAGACAAGGGAGGCCTAGCGCCCAAATGGGGTCTAGGCGTTGATTTCGAGAACGTTGCTAGTACTTGAGGATATTTTCAATGTTGGACTTGAGCTGCACCTCAATAGGAATCAATATGCTCCAAGCAGGGCCGTACCAAGAAAAATCCTTAGGTAAATAACTAGATAAGGGAGGCGTAGTGCTCAAACAGGGGTTATGCTTTGATTATGAGAACATTGCTAGTACTTGTAGGTTAATATGAGTATGAATCTGTGACTGAAAGCATCTTTTTCTTCTAGCTACCAAAAGCTGATGACTGAAAGTTCAAGGCTACCCTTGTTTGATATCAGAAAGCTGAATGCATCACTCCCTGTCCCTCCGGTGGCAGATCCCTCATTGGAAGTTCTAGTGTTGGGCGCAATGGCTGATTTCATAGTGGTATAGTCTAAACCCTGTTACAGAGCTGCGATAATAAAATGATAATGACCACATCTAAAATTTGAATCCATTTGATTTACTAATTAAATCAAATGCCTTGAAATCGTCAATCTCTCTTACTCTCTTTAATAGTTAAAATACTTTTATATGGTATTTGTAGGATTTGGAAGGAGTTGATGAAACTGGGAGGTTTTATGGAGTGTCGCCTGTGTGTATTGAAGATGTTGCTCATGACATGATGTTAGATTGCCAATGGCAAAATGGTGCTAAAGAAATTATATCATGGGTAAATAAGTAGATAAAAATATCATTGTCATGGAGGGAAGTGTCCCAAATTTACCTGTCTACGACTTCTACATATCTTGATTAATTATTTTTAATTAATAAAAATAATTCATTTGCATTAATCTCATGGTATTTTTTTGGAGTTATTTAATAACAAGTATTATCACTACTTTAATGTATTGAACACAAAAGTTCTAGCCTATTCAGTTCTCTATTCCTCTTAAATTATTGTAGTACGTTGTAAAATTTAATTTTCCCATCCAAGTGCCTACTGCACATCAGCTGTGCGATTAGTGTCAGATCCAAAGGCGCAATACTTTTGATCTTGAGATTAGTGATGGACCCGGGCCGGGTCGGGCCTTGGGTCTGGTAGAGGTTGGCCCGGGACCGGCCCGGTCTATGGCCGGTGCCGGTTCGGGCCGGGCCACCCGCCCGGGTCACGGGTTGGGCCACCCACCGGGCCGGGCTGGGTCATAATTTTTTTTTAAATTATTATAGATTATACAACTTCTTATTAAAAACAAAGTTCAAGTGCATTTATTTGAAATAGGAACTACATTTGAGAATTGAGAAAAAAATAACAATATGAAATACATTTTCTAATAAATATTAATTGGGATTTCTGCCACCATTGGTTGTTGTTTTCCCTTTGTCACAGGACTTCATATGTTTTATTGGCATCTCGTATCCGTGTGAACGCCCCAAGCTACACTCTTTCTTGCACCACTTGCAAGTTGCCCACCACAGTCCGGTCTTCGGGTCTTTCCACTCATCAAAATTGTTTTGCATAAGGGAAGATGTACTTTCCATCTTTAAAATAGTATATGTATAAGTAGGAATGTAGGATAATAAAAGAAGACGAAGATGGAGAAGAATTGGAGAAGAGGTGTAGAAAAATGTTAGAAAATAGATACTACGTATATTTATAGATGTTTTTGAACCCCTCCCCACACCACCACCCCCGGGACCCCCCCTGCCCCCCACCCAAAGCCCCAATGGCTATATAGCCGTTTGGGAGCTGTTTTTTTTTAAAAAAAAAAATTATAATTTTTTTTTTAAAATTATACATATTGTAAAATAAGTTAATTAATTTAATGAATTAAGTAAAACTATTTTTACTTAGGAAAGTGGTTTGATTTATAATATACAAATGTTACAAAATAGGTGTATAAGTATTTAAAAAAATTACATATTGTAAATGTATTTTTAATTTAAAAACAACCTTTAGATTTTAGAAAAATAATTTTATGTTGTAAGTTTGTAACCAAATAATTAATTTGAGAAGTGCTACATATGAAAAAATGAACGCATATTTATTTGAAATATGAAGTACAAGTTTACAAATTAATTTGAAGTACACGTACAAATTTACAACTTTGAAATATGAAGTTATGAAGTACAAGTTTACATTTTTTAAATTTGAAGTACAAGTACAAATTGATTTTAGAAGTGTTACAAAATACATTTTATAATAATTTCTGAAATACTAATCAATCGGAATCTCCGGCATAGATAGAGGCACCATCGGTTGTTGAGTCATCCATAAATTCTTGTGAGGGGGTGATGTTCATTTCTTGAGTTCTACGTGCGGCCTTCAACCAATCATGGTAGCATATAAGCGTCTCAAGAGACTACGCGCTCAATCTCGATCTAGATGTCATTAGGACGTTGTCGGCCGAACTAAATTCTTGTTCTACAGCAACTGTTGAAACCGGCATTGATAGTATTTGCTTAGCCATCCGTGCTAATTAACTAGTATAATGAAAAATGTAACAAGAATACTAATGAACTAATTAACTAGTATAATAAAAAATGTAACAATCAGTGGGAATACTAATTAACTAATCAAGTAATGTTAATAAAAATGTAAGTAATAAGACAAATGTATGAATGTGTATAGTAATTAATGGGAGTAAACGAGTAATAGAATGATTTTAAGTGATATTAATTAAAGTGTAACTAATATATAATATAATGTTTATAGTATATAATATATAAGTATACTACTATAAGATGAATAATACACTTATATTTTATACTTTAATATATAAACTATATATTAAGTAGATGTAGAGTGTATGTATTAAGTGGATATAAGTAGATAATTAATATATAAGTAGATATAATAATTGTATAAGAATTAAATATTAGAGTATAATGGAGAATTGGAGATTGGAGAATAAGAAAATAAGTATATATGAAATATAAGTAGAGAAGTAGATATTATTATGTATTAAGTATATACTAATAGTTTATAAAGTATATTTAATACTTTAATATATCAAGTATATATTAAGTAGATGTAGTATGTATGTATGTATGTATGTATGTATGTATTAAGTAGATATAAGTAGATAATAAGTAGAGATTAAGTAGATAAGAAATATAAGTAATATAGTATATGTATTTATAAGTAGATAATTAATATATAAGTAGATATAATAATTGTATAAGTATTAAATAGTAAAATAAAATATAATGGAGAATAAGAGAATTTGAGAAGATGAATATGGAGATGAGTAGAGAGTAGAGAGTAGGATTTAGGAAGAGTTGGAGAAGAGGTGTGAAAAAATGTTTAAAATTAGGAGTATTTATAGTTTTTTTTTAACCCCCACCCCCCAAAAGCCCTGGACCCCCCTCCCAACGGCTATATAGCCGTTTGGGATGTGGGTCAACAGCCCAAAAGGGGTTTTAAAAAGAAATGAATTTTTTTTTAATGTGACCGTTAGGCCCGGACCCGGGCCTCGGGCCGGGCCGCCAAAAACTAGCCCCGAGCCCAGACCCGCCACCCCCACCGGTTCGGTGCCCGAACCGGACCCGGACCCGAGAACTGGGCCGGTTCCGGGCCCGCGTAGTAGCGGGCCGGGCCGGTCCTGGGCCGGGCGGCCCCGAACCGGGTCCATGACTACTTGAGATACATAATCTACAAGAACATGTTGAATTGTTGATTTAGGAGAACAATGTTGTGATTCTTCAAAAAAATTAATTTGTGGTGAACATTTCTTTGTACTTGGTGTTTGTTGGTTGTTCATTATTGTTGATTAAAGTGAATATGATTCTTTTTGTTATGTAATGCGTGGATGTTCATCATTGTCCTCAATCCATATGTATATTAAGGACTCAATCCATATGTATATTAGGGTCCTGCCATTATGATTTGTAGCCCTAATCTCATTCTCCCATGTATATATGTGAATGAAAAGTAGGTGATTTGGTTTCTAACACTTTTAATATTTGTAAAAGTAAGAGTTGAACCTTTTTTCTTTCCAAACACATCGATCATTTTTACAATTACATACTAATTTTTGTAGTGAATAATATTGGTTGATACAATGATAGCTTCAATTCGAAAGTAAATTTATTTTTTTGTAAAAAAATAAAAATAATTACATAAATATGACCAAAATAAATATGGTTTACACTAATATGATTCATTACTAGAGTAGTAATGAAATTATAGTAATCCATGTTCAAGTTTTGAACTTAAGTTACCACAGCATTAAGTTTTAGTAATGAATAGTCATATTTATGTAAATAAGTTTTATTTTAGTAATATTCTTATAAAAAACTCTAAAAAAAATAAGTTTGGTAAAAAAAATGACTGGTAAGACCGAAATATAAAAAATGGCGGTTAACAATATGAGCTCTGAACTTAAATTAAATACGTTAGACATAAAGCTTCCATTCACATTTTTAGTCACACATAAGCTTCCATAATTAGAACAGAGCTATAAATCATAGACGCTTGACTCTTGAGCACATTGTTAGAGCATCTTTAATGGGTCCTTCTATTCTAAAAAACGCACAGCCACATAAGTAAAAAATTGAGAGGATGCAAGAAACGGTCTCCAACGGAACCGCCTATTTGCAGCGTGCTGCTGAGCTGGAACGGCAATAAACCCACGCCGTCTATTTTCCTATGGACTTTTCAGCAAGACTCCCAACACTCTGACTCAGCAAACAATTAATTTCGTGGAGAAAATTCATAAACGTTTGATTGAATTGTGAGTGAAGAAAAGTTGGATTATTTTTTAGTGATGTTCCGTATGATTAGTTTTCAACTTCACGCTTGCGTTGGAGCATAGATGTTATTTTATATGTTTGTGGATCCACCTCAGCTCCATGGTCCGTTTACATGGGTGACATGTCCATTTTTTATGGGGTGCAATCCATATCCCATTAAAACTGCTCTTAGACATCATTTGAATACATTAAATGATGTTCAGATGATATTTTAGTTTGATATGTCATGCAACGCATGAGTGAAAGACTAATAACATTCTTATGTGCAATGATGTTTAATACAAGTAATAAACCTTGAGTCACTATGCTACACTGTCCCGCCAATTTGGCCCTTATGTGGTTATTATTTTTCTAAAACATGGTTTTTAAAATTAAAATTCCGTTCTTTTGTAACTGATCTTTTTTTAGCGTAGGGATTTGGCAAATGTAAATTGGAATTTCAATTTCTTTACTACAATTAACATTCCTGGTGTCTCTCATTGGAGAACAAACAAATTAAGAGCCCGTTTGATAACATTGGAATTAGTTGAATCGATTAAATTTATTGAAATTCATGAAGTTCTGGCTGAAGCGTTTGAATTTGTTGAATTATGAAAAAATTACATTTAAAATATATTTTATAAAGAAAATAAAGAACAAGATTATATAGAAAAATAAGCTAAAATAACCATGTACAGTAACTTCAATCAATTTAGTCCGAAAGTAACTACAAATTTACTGATTTTGATTATGTTACAATTTAACATGTGAAATCAAAAGTTGTGTATTTTGGTGAATTCAGACCGAAAGTAACTACAAATTTACTTATTTTGATTATGTTACAGTTTAAAATGTGAAATCAAAAGTTGTGTATTTTGTGAAAAATGAATGATAAGATTGGTAAGTTGAAAAACATGGTCACCAAACGTAAATGTAGTACAATTGATTACCAAATCTAATTAAACTAATTAGAAAGTTTCTGTATAAATAACTTAATTTACAAAACTATATTGGTGAGGGGTCCATTAGCATATTCTAAAGACTGTTTTTCTCATAAGATTTTATTATTCCAAATATAAGAAATTAATTTTTGAATAATACTTCCTCCGTTCTTTTTTAGTTGCAAAAGTCAACATTTCACATTTGTCAATGCACGTCTTTGACCGTAATTATATCTTAATCCCTATTAGTAAAAAATATTTAAAAATTAGATTTTGAAAATTTGTAATAAGATGAATTGAAAAATATAATTTTAAAAAAATAATTTTCATAAAATAATAATATAAAATGTAGTCAAAGTAGAACATGTGAATAATGTAAAATTCAACATTTTGCGATTAAAAAGAGACGGAGGATAGTATATATTAGGCATCAACTATCACCAGTAATTCAATAATAATACGGAGTATATATTGTTGAAATAATTATCTCATAGTACAATTTGGTCATTCTATTTATCAAAAGCTCTTAACAAATCATCAATAAAGGTTGTTTGATAGTTGTCCTATAAATGTAGCTATAATGGTCTGATTTAGTATAAAAAAATTGCTCCATACCGTTTTAATTATTTATTTGGATAGCTGATATGAATTAATTATTTCTATATTATATGTTAATGTTAGTTGACTGGTGATAATCAGTATTATTAAAAAATCCTTTCAAATAAAGAAAATTGATGTCATTTCATAAATAATTTGATTATTTCAAAAGTATTGTAAACAATAAAGTACTCCATCCATCCAATTTTTAAAACTCCCAAGTCCCATCATCCTACATTCCTCTTAGAGTTATCCCATGAAAATTTTTATTTACTGTTTTGTCTACTTGTGTATCATATCCTTTGATTTTTTTACTCTTTTCCTTATGGATGCATATATTACATTGTATTATTTCTTACTTTTGGATATATTTTCTAAAGGAAATCGTTTTGTTCTTAAACATTGCATCAAACTCGAATATATCATACATGTGTTGGAAAAAGTGTGTTAAAACTGCATTAAATGGTCATTTTGGGGCAATTTTTTGAGTGGGGTCCACTTCCGATTTGGGTCGGGTCAAAGTGGTTTCGGATTGTCCTTGCTTAGGGCTACAATTCGATATATGGTACGCTCAAAACGGATAACGGGTGAATGAGAAATCGTTTTTCGAATTTTACCCGTTGGAATGGAGAAAACTAGGAAAAGGTGGGTTTTAGTGTGGGTTTTTCCCACACCGAAAATCACAAGGGAATTTGAACCCTTTATAAAGGGAACCCCCCCCCTAAGGAGTTAAGATTCCTAAAGGGAAAGGCTCTCTCACGCGCGCAGGGGGGCGAGGCGCGGATCAAATCCCGAAACCGGAGAACAAAAAGTGCGATTTGCGTGTGCGGGCGACCTGCACACACGAATGCCGTCCGTTAAAGATAACGTTAATTTTTGTTCTTCCGTAATGTTCCAACGTTCATATGCCTTGATGCATGGAACTGGAACGTTTTTTGGACAGATCAGTGCAAACGAGCTGGCTATTGAATGCCAACGTTCATGTGGACGTTTAGGACGATTCAATACCAGCATGGTGGCCATTGATGTCCAACGGCCAACGCCATTAACATGCAAACGTTCAGCCAACAAATCCACCTCTAGCATTCCATAAAAACTCTTCTGTGTTCTGAGCTTTGTTCACGTTCGTTGGAACTTTCGTTTGAGTGCTCAAACGCTTGTTCGTTGTCATCGTATACTGGGAAACGATTCATGCAACGCTCCTAGCACCCGGGAGGCAATGAATACGTTTTAAGGAAATCGTGCGTAGCACGAGCTTTGGCTTATTCTGCTTCATCTCATTTCTTGTTTTTCTTTAAGTCATTTTATTTAATTAATTTTTATTAATTATTTTTCTTAGTTTTTCGAAACACACCCAACAACATGTTACATCAGGTACATGTGTGTCTAGGTTATGACAAACTTAAAAGAAAATGCATCTCTATGAGATGTAATCACCTCAATGAATGTGTTAATTTGACATTTGGATAAGACTCAATAAAACAAATTTAAAACTTGAAAAATGCCAAGTGTGCAGTGTACACCATTCATACATATTGTTTGTCTACGCAAAAAGGGTTGTCTGTATACAGACCCTACAAAATTGTTTGTATATAGACTAATCTATTTGAGTAGACAAATAATGTGTGTGAATGGTGTACACAAAATGGTGTACACCAAACGTTTTTGTTGAAATTTACCCCGATTGCAATGGCTTTATGCCAGTGAGAATAGAGATTTCTTTAAATCGAGGTGACTTAACTTGAGTTAAATTATACATATTGCTACGTATAAATCAAATCTCAAAGAGAGTGTGCAATACTCTCCTCGTCTCATAAATAAAACTAGGTTAATTTAACTTTTCTTTTTCTTGATTAATGACAATAAAATTTGAATAATAATTTGTATAAGTTGTAGCACGTGTGTTGCGCAAATAACAAGCCATTATCCCTCTGATCTTTATAACTTGTTATATGTTCTTGTTTGGTTATCTAACAAACTTCTGGACGATACCACTTTCTCTTTTTCACAAATCTCAACTATACTATTTTATTTTATTGTTTCATGTGTCGATCAATTTTGACAAAATTATAAATGACGGAGACATACGTTCTGATTTGTCATTGTTACTGTTAAAGAAGGCCCAGTATACAAAACAAAAAGTCTAAGAGGCAAGCCCATATTGGAATGCACACGTCACTACACAACTAGGGCTTACAGATCCACAGCCATTTAAACTCGCGCACCCACTACTGGCATAGTCTCTGCCGCCGAAATAAGGTTTACAGGTGAGAGAGCGCTTCTCCGCAGTTGATAGCCTCTTGTTGCCGATCGGTCATCGAAGGTGAGGCTTCAATCTCATGTGTTATTGTACAATCTTAGCTCAATATATCTATTCTCGTTCCCTTTTTGACGCTTTCCGCTCTTTCTATCTTCCGAAAATCTGGGCCATTTCATTATTTAGATTCATAAGGTGCATTAGTTTGTTGGAGTGATTTTTGGAATTCGAGTGAGTCTGCTCTGTTTTACTTCCTTGGATGTGAAAGGAAATGATACATCTTTTAAATCCGGATATCCGAACTAGTGGGTGCTGGAATTAACATGAAGAATGTTTTCTTTTCCCAACACATGTATTGCTTGTGTCCTTTGTAAGAGTTTGTTATTTGCTCCTTACAATTAGTGTCGTGTCTTCTTCACCTTTAGTCCTTTGGGTTTACATATTAATCTATGCCTGAATTTGTATAAAAACTATCTTTTGTGCAAAAAATGTTCATTGACAATCAAATCAGCGAAATTACACTGGTTCCTTGATGAACAATCATTGCTAGGATCAGTCATGTTGAGAAACACATGTTCATCTTCACATTCTTATCTTAGATGAAACTGGGTAGAATTTCTTTCTCTGCATAGGCATTGCATTGATACAGTATTTTGTTGTTAAATTGTCTTCCACTAAAATCATTTAACAGTAAAAGTGAACAAGTAATGCAACAATAATGGTTCAGTTATCCGTACAAGTTATTGCACGTTTCTTTTTCCAATTGTCATTCCATATAATTTAGTTTTGGCTTACCTTTATCTATTATTGATTTCTTTTATCTCCTATTTTTTCATCCTAGAGTTCAGGATGAATAATGATAATTAAGCGAGTACTTGCATTTTAATTGTTCTGTACTTGTCAATGACAACAAAATAATTGCTTTTATGACCAGGTTTCAACATGTACACTGCATTGCAGAAGATTCACAAGGATAAGGATGCTGAGCCATCTGAATTTGAGGAGTCTGTTGCCCAGGTGTCTTATGGTTATCTTTTGAAGTTACAAATTTATGCTTTCTGTTTGTTCTAAAATTATCTCACTGTGTTCCTGACCCCATGGTTAATTCTTCTGCAGGCATTGTTTGATTTGGAGAACACTAACCAAGATCTAAAGAGTGATTTGAAGGACCTATTCATAAACTCTGCTGTGTATGTAACATATATTGATTTCTTACCTTTTCCATCCCCTACAGTTTCTCATTGTGATGCTTACTTTTATCAAATTCCAGTCAGATTGATGTATCTGGAAACCGCAAAGCTGTTGTGATCCATGTCCCATATAGACTAAGGAAAGCCTACCGGAAGATACATCTTAGGCTTGTCAGAGAGCTCGAGAAGAAGTTCAGTGGGAAGGTAATGAAACATATAATGCCATTGTACTATCACTTGAAAATTTAAGTTGGTTCTCTATTTCGGCTAAAGTGTGTGATACATGTCTTTATACTGTACTTAGCCTGACTTCCAATATGACCTTGTCAATATTTCATGTACAATTTGCAGTTCTACTCCCTCTAACTTAGTGAAAGGAGTCTTTTGTCAAACTTTTTTACACCACAAAGACTAGTGGCTAATAAAAGTGATTATTTCATGTCACTATGTATTTTCCAAAGGAGGGATTGATTTTGGTATGTGACAATCTTTGTGGTCAAACTGAAAAGGAAAAGTGGAATAATCTTAGCGAGATGTTGGGCTTTCTTAAAATAAAAAAGTTGTACATTGGTCAAACATCTCTATTTATGAGATAGCATATCCTTTTTGGGTCTTGTTATTTTAGTCTTCTACAGAATAATGAGTTCATCAGTGATATTATTACATGCTAATTAATTCGTAACATTGTTTGTACACATCACATCACACTACTTTTGTACCGGTGTACCTTGAATTATCTTTTTTTTATATTAGCATATGGCTATTTGTACAATGTGTTCTGTTCTGATTATCTTTTTGTGTGTAGGATGTTGTTGTAGTTGCCACACGAAGGATCGTGCGACCTCCCAAGAAGGGTGCAGCTGTACAGAGGCCGCGTTCCCGTACACTTACAGCTGTGCATGAGGCTATTCTTGAGGATCTGGTGTACCCTGCTGAGATTGTTGGGAAGCGCATCAGATACAGACTTGATGGATCAAAAATAATGAAGGTAGCCATTGTTTTAATGTATTATTATTATGTATTATTTGAATCACATCAGCCTTTACACGCAGTCTGTTCGGTATTCCTGAATGTTAGGGTGGTGAAATAAAGTAGAAAGGAAAAGAGATGATAAATCTGAAAGACTAATAAAATTAAATGATCTATCAAATTCTTGAAGTTTACGTAGTACTCCCTCCGTCCCTAATAACTTTGCCAAGTTTGACCGGCACGAGGATTAATAAAGTAAAAACTGTGTGGTTGAGGTTTGTGCAGAGGAGAGAGAATTAACTGGAACCACAAATTCTTTACTTAAATGGGAAAGTGGCAAAGTTAATGGGACATCCAGAAAAGGAAAGTTGGCAAAGTTATAAGGGACGGAGGGCGTATTATGTTTACTTATTTGTTCCAAGTTAGTTTATTTTTACAAATTATAGTGTTTAAAAACAAGGAAATTTGCATGTTTTAAAAATTGAAAAATCTTTAAACTTTAATATTCGAAGATAAACCAATCCCAAACAGTTAACTTTCCTTTTATTTTCATAATTTATTTCCAGGATTCAAACATGCACCACAAACAATCATATGTTTTCACATGCTTTACCTAGCCCATGCATAATTCTGGGGTATGTCTTGTTGTTTAGGTTCTATTGGATCCGAAGTTCAGGAATGACACAGAATACAAGTTAGAAACTTACTCTGGTGTCTACAGGAAGCTTTCCGGAAAAGATGTAGTCTTTGAGTATCCCAACCCTGAGGCGTAATTGCCATTTCACTTTTTTTGAATATTTCTGTTGGATACACATCTTGAATTTAAGAATGTCTGCTATCATTGCCTAGGTTGTCTGAAATTTTGACTATCGACTTTTATGCGTTGACAATTACTTTCTAAGTTCAGTATTTATGAATGTTGAAAATACCATGCGCTGTACTGTTGAATGGGAAAATTTGTATTTTTGTTTTATGACTGTCTTGTATGATCTTTTACTTGTCCTATTATTAACTGCCAAGTAGAGGTGGAGTCGGGCCGGGCGGGCCCCCCGGAACAGGCCCGTACCGGTCACTGTTTGAACCGGCCCGAACCGCCGGCCCGGCCAGGGACCGGTTCAGGTAGGCCCGACCTGCTTGGGTTCTGGTCCGTGCTTGGGCCCCTCAAAAGGTGAACCGGCCCGGCCCGACCCGGGCCCGGGGGTACCCGGGCCGGTTCTGGGCCTCCCCTTTCATGAACTGAGGCCCGGCCGGGCCCGAATCCACCCCTACTGCTAACTGCTAAGTGAATAAAGTGATCAACATGACAAATGGTGTCGGTCTATAATCGATATACCAGAGGCCCTAGTTAGCTTTTTTTCCGTTTAAAATGCGTTTTAAACATGCAATGTTTTTGAACAAAAAAATGCGTATAAAATGAAAAATAATGTTGGTGCGTTTAAAAAGGAAAAACAACTCCTATTCCCCGTATAAAATGTATTTTTTTTTTGTATTTTACAAAAATCATGAACATGAACTAATCAATTGAATTAGTGCATTAAATGCATAGAAGATCAACAATAGCCTAAAAAAATAATTTTCATAAAATAATAATATAAAATGTAGTAGAACGTGTGAATAGTGTAAAATTCAACATATTGTGATTAAAAAGAGATGGAGAATAGTATATAATATTGTTTTTTTTAAGAAATTATGGGCCTTAATTATTTGTAGGCCGAGTGCAGAAGCACTGCTTGCACGGCCCTGTAATACTCGCACACAATCCAAACCAACATTTTTGGTCTAAAAGCCAATCGCCCAACCTCCATAGAGTTTAATTACTGGTGGTTAACTATTCCAAATTTCCAATAAACCAACTGAGAAAAATATCCACTGAAATGGAGAGGTGGTAAAAAATAGTTACCTCTTGCATCAAACCTAAACAATAGTTTCAAACTCCATGTGAGTGTAACTGTGTATTGGATGGTAACATCAGGTTTTGAATAGACTTCTATTAGCCAAATTTAAAATGAACTTGTTGGGATATATTATCCCGGCCTATTACTGTTCAGGAGCCCAAGACATTACCCAGTACGGGGCCCGAGCAGCTAGGTCCATTTCAGCCCATTCTGGCCCACTTTGGCCATTAGGCCCGACATCAGCCCGTTTGGCCCATTAGGGTGGAGTATTTCCCTCACCCCTTTCCCTATTTATAGGAGGTTTTTCCCTCCATGTAAAGGACCCCTTTTGATTCCTTTTTCCTTCTTCCCCAACTCATTTCTTCTCTCTAGAATAGCTTGCAAGACTCCATTAATGGGAGCTCAAATTGTAAAATGTAATGGTGAGGAGAGTATTAATGAGAATGAGAGGGTTTGGACATTAGCCTAAAAAGTCCCGTGGTTTTCTCCCTTTCGAGTTTCCACGTAAAAACTGAGTGTTCATACATATATTTACTATATCGTGTTGGATTAAACTCAACACTGGCGCCGTCTGTGGGAATCTGTCCAAAAAGATTCATGTGTTCTACACAAAAAAATCCATACCAAATGGACTGATTTTCAGGGAAAAAGAGAAAAGAATGACGATTCTGGAAGATCTGGACTGTCTGGATCTTGTTCAATCAAACTGCCGCCGCCGGAGCATCTGCCAGACCGCCGCCGTGTGTCGCCGGGCTTGCTGAGTCAACTGTGGTTCGCCCGCACCGGTGGAAGTTCGCGGACAAAATGAGGAAATTTGGATCTGGGTTCTGGAATCTCAGGTTTAGGAACCCGAAGGCTCGTCGCCCAAACGCCACTTAACCGTGAGCAGGACCTCCTCCGTCGTAGTGGCACTGTTCATCAGTCGAAGCTGGGTCCTCTGATTGAGGTGCAGCACCGTCGTTCGTCGCCATTAATGGTGAGCCAGTGGTCACTCCTCGACCTGGTTAACCGCTGCTCGACCCCCAACCTCTGTCAACGTGGGTGGATTTTTCGGCTAAGAGTTCTTGCTTTCCACCATTAATGGTGGCTTGGAGCTCAGGGAAGTGTACTTCGCAGTCAGCCAAACTTCCAGCGGGGACAAGATTTTCCGACTGCCCTTGCTCTATTGCATCCACCGTCTCCGCCGGCAGAAAACGGCCGGCACGGCCGGCCTATCTCTGGGTTGGTAGGAGGATGATTCACCTGCTGCACTCCTAAAGGCTACTCCATATGGCCATGGTCCTAAGCAGACCACGTCTGCAAAATTTGGGGCTTAGTAACGAGAGGCCAACAACGTATTTGAAGATTTCATCCAAGGCTTCTTTAGCTTGGACTTTTGCAGCAGCCGGGTCCATGCGCCATAGGTTGAATAATTTTGACAACAAGGGAGCAAATCTGACTCCACATATTCTGCTGGCAGACATCTCTTTTGAAGCTAAGTATTGAATCTCTTGATTACTAATTAAATTTCAAATAGTATTTTTATTACTAGTATTTTTATCACCATTATTTATTAGGGATTAAAATCTCCCAAAATTAAATGATGTCGAGCGACGCTCTTGTGATAATTAGCTACACCATCGTTTTAATTAATGATTGGTTGTTGTGGGCCCGTCGGCCCGCTCCTGATCCGCTTTAATTAGCGAGTGGAGCATACCTGAATGGCCTTTGATAGGAAAATATCTTTGCTATTACCTGTTATATCACTATTATTTATTAGGGATAAAATATCCTGAACTAAATAACGTGGAGCGAAGCTCTAGTGATTGTTGGTTCAGTCAATATTTTAATTCCTGTGGGCCCGATGGCCACTCTCGATCAGCTTGATTAAGCGATCCGAGCGTCTCCAGAAGGGCGATGCCCCGACGACGCATTTTAATTTGAGGGTTGCGCATTAGTCCGCGCGGCACTACGTGCCCGATCGACGATCGTACCCCAATATCATCTACGCCGCCAGGCGTGAAGTGATTATTTCCAAACGCGACCTGTGGGGCCCAAAGGCACCAAAGCGCTCAGCCTCGTTTTTCCGAGGGCAGTGCGACCAACTTGGGTCTGAGTCTGAAAACTCACAGACCAATGGATATCTCTATGTGACGTTCGGCAGACTGCTAATTGGCCCCGCCGCGAGCTGCTACGTCCATTAACCCCGCACGATGAGCCGGGCCAAGGGTCACAATAATCCATAGGCCGGTAATCGTGGATGTTAAGGAGAAAGCCATGCAAATGGCTATGTGTGTATACATATTGTCGGGCCGTGCGGCCCGTTATCATGCTTATTGCGCAGTTGAAGCCACTCGACGCGCTCGAGCGAAATGATTAAAAGACGATCGGCCCGAATCTTGAAGACGTTCAGGGCCAGCTAAAGTGGAGACTATCACGGCTGAGAGCCGATGACGAGCACCTCCACCCAGAGGTCGAGGGCCTAGAGGAGACCACCACGGTTGAGAATCGTGGGACGAGCATCTCCACCCCAGAGACCGATGGCCTAAGAAGAACACCTAGAGCCCGAGGGTCTAGAGGCGAATGCCATGACAGAGAACCGTGAGACGATCATCCGTCATTCAGAGGCCGAGGGCCTAGAAGAAATCGTCACGGCCGAGGGCCGTCTGACGTCATCATACCATGACCGGCCCCTCGGTACGGCATGATTATCATATTTGAAGACCGGTTTCATCCCCGCTCCTCGTGGATGACGGTCGTTGCTTGTTTTCTCAAATCGGCCTCTCATTGCCGACACCGTTATATCACGACCGGCCTCCCGGCTCGGCGTGCTTTCCATATTTGAAGACTGGTTTCATCCCCGCTCCTCGCGGATGACGGCCGTTGCCTGTTTTCTCACGATCGGCCTCTCATTGTCGATATCATTATATCACGACCGGCCTCTCGGCACGACGTGTTTATCTTTTAAAGACCGGTTTCATCATCGCGCTGCGTAGATGAGAGCCGTTGCTCGGACATATCAGCCCTATCGGACACTATTGTCATCTCCTTATCAGGACCGACTGCTCAGCGACATCATGATCATTGTATGTCGGCTCCCAACGCCGACCTTCTTGAGTTAGCGGTCGGGCTCACCCCTCCCCTCCAGGAGGGTGACCATCGCCTTCGCATGACGACCAGCTATTCCATCGCCTCGTCATTTTATTCGTTTTTGTATCCCACCACCATTATGTGTGACATCACTTGTGGTCATTCTTAGAACCGATGAACGTATTTTCCTCCCTAAAAAAAAAAGAAAAAAAAGAAAGAAAACAAAAAAGATGGGGAGAAGGGGAGACGAGATCCTATGAGAGAGGGAGTCTTGACGAGGTATGCCTGATCTTCCTTCGCCGCGTATGACGAACGTCTCCCGACGCGGAGGTTAGTAGGAACATGGGGGAGGCTAGACGTACCAAAGGGAACCTCGGCAAGATAAACCAGTTCCTCCCATGACCCGTGGATCGACGAACACCTTCTGCTGAAGCAGAGGGCTAGTAGGGCCACGGGTGTGGGGCGACGAAGCAGGGAACCCGCGATAGGGTAAACCAGTTCCTCCTTGCGATCGGTGATTGACCGAACGTCTTCTTCGAGGGAAGAAGGTTAGTAGGATCACGACAGGGACGAACGAAGAAACGGGAACCCTGACAGGGTATACCGGTTCCTCCCCCTTATGGACGGATGACGAACGTCTTCTGCGAAGCCAGAAGACTAGTAACTCATGACTGGGGACGAACAGAGATAGGGAATCCCGACGTGGATAAACCTGTTTCTTCTCATAGTTGGGATGACGAACGTCTCCTGCGAAACCAGGAGACCAGTACTCACGAGACTTGGGAAGAACAAAGACCGAGTTCTTTACCGGAGTCTGTTGCGTGCCGAGTGTACACCGCTTAGTGGTCCGTACATAGGACCACGGATACGGTAGACAAACGAAGACCAGCTCCATGGATCAGACACGATGGACCAGTTCTTTACCGGAGTCTGTGCGTGCCGAGTGTACACTGCTTAGCGGTCCGTACATAGGACCACGGATACGGTAGACGAACGAAGACTAGCTCCTCAGATCAGATAGGAGGGACATCGCCCAGATTTATTTCAGGCTCACCATTCCTTCCCGGATGGAGTCCTGGCAGACGATCGGCTTCTCACAGCCAATCAGGAGAGAGACTTGACACATCACCAGCACGGCCGAGGGCCGTGAGACGATTACCACTCACCGACAGGCCGAGGGCCATGAGATGATCATCACTATTTTTCTGTATCACGATCGGCCCCTCAGCGCCATCGTGTCCAGACTCACGGTTCGGCTCGCCCATTCCCTCCAGGATGGCAACGACCGTCTTAGGCAGTACGACCGGCCCCTCAGCGCCATCGTACCCAGCTCACGTTCAGCTCGTCCATTCCCTCCAGGGTGGCGACGAACGTCTTATGCATCACGATCGGCCCCTCAGCGCCATCGTGTCCAGATTCGCGGTTCGGCTCGCCCATTCCCTCCAGGATGGCGACGACCGTCTTATGCAGTATGATCGGCCCCTCAGCGCCATCATACCCAGCTCACGTTCAGCTCGTCCATCCCTTCCAGGGTGGCGACGAACGTCTTGTGCATCACGATCGGCCCCTCAGCGCCATCGTGCCCAGCTCATGTTCAGCTCGTCCATTCCCTCCAGGATGGCGACAGACGTCTTATGCATCACGATCAGCGCCTCAGCGCCATCGTGTCCAGATTCACGGTTCGGCTCGCCCATTCCCTCCAGGATGGCGACGACCGTCTTATGCAGTACGATCGGCCCCTCAGCGCCATCGTACCCAGCTCACGTTCAGCTCGTCCATCCCTTCCAGGGTGGCGTCGAACGTCTTATGCATCACGATCGGCCCCTCAGCGCCATCGTGTCCAGACTCACGGTTCGTCTCGCCCATTCCCTCCAGGAGGGCGACGACCGTCTTATGCAGTACGATCGGCCCCTCAGCGCCATCATACCCAGTTCACGGTTCGGCTCGCCCATTCCCTCCAGGATGGCGACGACCGTCTTATGCAGTACGATCGGCCCTTCAGCACCATCGTACCCAGCTCACGTTCAGCTCGTCCATCTCTTCCAGGGTGGCGACGAACGTCTTATGCATCACGATCGGCCCCTCAGCGCCATCGTGTCCAGATTCACGGTTCGGCTCGCCCATTCCCTCCAGGATGGCAACGACCGTCTTATGCAGTATGATCGGCCCCTCAGCGCCATTATACCCAGCTCACGTTCAGCTCGTCCATCCCTTCCAGGGTGGCGACGAACGTCTTATGCAGTACGATCGGCCCCTCAGCACCATCGTACCCAGCTCACGTTCAGCTCGTCCATCTCTTCCAAGGTGGCGACGAACGTCTTATGCATCACGATCGGCCCCCTCAGCGCCATCGTGTCCAGATTCACGGTTCGGCTCGCCCATTCCCTCCAGGATGGCGACGACCGTCTTATGCAGTATGATCGGCCCCTCAGCGCCATCATACCCAGCTCACGTTCAGTTCGTCCATCCCTTCCAGGGTGGCGACGAACGTCTTATGCAGCACGATCGGCCCCTCAGCGCCATCGTACCCATCTCACGTTCAGCTCGTCCGTCCCTTCCAGGGTGGCGACGAACGTCTTATGCATCACGATCGGCCCCCTCAGCGCCATCGTGTCCAGATTCACGGTTCGACTCGCCCATTCCCTCCAGGATGGCGACGACCGTCTTATGCAGTATGATCGGCCCCTCAGCGCCATCATACCCAGCTCACGTTCAGCTCGTCCATCCCTTCCAGGGTGGCGACGAACGTCTTGTGCATCACGATCGGCCCCTCAGCGCCATCGTGTCCAGATTCACGGTTCGGCTCGCCCATTCCCTCCAGGATGGCGACGACCGTCTTATGCAGTATGATCGGCCCCTCAGCGCCATCATACCCAGCTCACGTTCAGCTCGTCCATCCCTTCCAGGGTGGCGACGAATGTCTTGTGCATCACGATCGGCCCCCTCAACGCCATCGTGTCCAGTTCACGGTTCGGCTCGCCATTCCCTCCAGGATGGCGACGACCGTCTTATGCAGTATGATCGGCCCCTCAGCGCCATCATACCCAGTTCACGGTTCGGCTCGCCCATTCCCTCCAGGATGGCGGCGACCGTCTTATGCAGTACGATCGGCCCCTCAGCGCCATCGTACCCATCTCACGTTCAACCCGTCCATCCCTTCCAGGGTGGCGACGAACGTCTTATGCATCACAATCGGCCCCTCATCGCCATCGTGTCCAGATTCACGGTTCGGTGCGCCCATTCCCTCCAGGATGGCGACGACCGTCTTATGCAGTACGATCGGCCCCTCAGCGCCATCGTACCCATCTCACGTTCAGCTCATCCATCCCTTCTAGGGTGGCGACGAACGTCTTATGCAGCACGATCGGCCTCTCAGCGCCATCGTGTCTGGCTCATGTTCGGCTCGCCCATCCCTTCCAGGATGGCGACGAACGCCTCTTA